ACTGCCGTGAGAAACAGTGTTCTGTACCACAAAATATGTTGGGTTTTTCCAAGATTTTTCAGGTGTGCTGAAAAATTCATTCTCCATCGCTCCCAGCACCATGACTAAAAACTCTTCATGAATACTGGAACAGGAACGTGTTCCAAGCGCTGCCATTTCCACCTCTGATCCTGCTTGGGGACAGTATCAGCCCAGCAGTATTCACTGCTCCCTTTGGATGTTTTTTTCCTGTGCCCCACTGCCTTCCAGACCTTCAAACCAGCAGCAATGCATGGCTGATTGGAAAACTGTGCTGACCACAAGTGCAATAATGAAAGATCTTTTCTTCCACATAGATGGGACTCCTTATTCCCTTCTTCCCTCTAAATTGCATTCCTCATTATACCCAGACATTGCAGAAGGGCTTTTCTTGGGACCTGCTGGTTGAAACAGGCTTACTGGTCTGATGTTAGAACAGCTCTGTCCCAGCTTAGCTGAAATAACGTTGTGCTCAGCTGCAGTATTGCTTTGAAAGTTCTCCTTTTGTCCATTTATTCCCAGTGCCGCAAACCAATCTGTCGGAGAAGCTCGTTCCTCATTATTCGTTAAGAGAGCCAACAAAGCCCTCTGTTCCTGCACCCTCTCAGAGCTTTGTTTTCAGCTATCTATTCAGTCTTCTGTTTGTGCTTCTCAATGTTTTCATTAAGAGCTTTAAATCGTTCACTTAGCCTTGAACCCCCTCACTCAGTGAGGTTTGCAGCTAGAAGAAGTAATCACCACAGTGCAATCTAGCTCTTGCTTTTTGCTTACCCTTCTATTTTCTCTTTAATTAAAAATCCCTTTGGTCTTTGCACTGCTCACTAGCACTTGGATCCAGGACGTGGTTTCCATTTGCCTTGCAAACAGCGCAGCAGAGAATGTCAAAACCGTTTTTCACAACAACCTTGCTTTGACCTGGGTGACAGCTTTACCACCAGGCATTTGATCTCTTACTTGCCCATCTGTTCATTGATTAAAATCCCACACTTCAATATACAATTCTGTCTCTGAATCCAGTAGCTTCTCTTGACAAGACCCTCATACAGACAAGGAGCCTTTCCCAAGTGATGCTTCTCAAGCAGATCACTGCCTCCTCATTGCCTCGGTTTAACCCAACAACTCAAGGGCAACCAGTTGCCAGCAAGCCCAACGACACTGCCCAAGAGCACAGGAAATAAAAGAGATGAAACCTGGGCTGGAGGGGGACAAAAACAGACCACCAGGACCCCCAGCATGGCAAGGCTCACGGGGATGCTGAGCCTGCAGCGCTCTACCTCCAGCCACTCTGGAGACTCGAGGCTGGCAGGGGAGGACAGAGAAGTCCTCTCTTTTGCAAAGATTTTTTTTTTTTTTTTTTCCTTTTAACCTGCCACCCCGGAAAGCCAGAAAGAAACAACACTAACGTTTCTGCTTTATCACATCTTCCAAATGTATGTCAGGTAAGATTATTACAGGGATCAGCCTAACAGGCACCGTCAGACACAGCACTGTGCAAGCTTCAGAGAAACACAAGGTCTGTGCCTTCAGCCACCATTACACCTCATCAGCAATAGATCCCCAAAACCTCCTTAGTGCACAGAAAGGTGATTTTTATCCCAGTACAAACAGTTCCAAAAGGAAGCCTGAGCCTTACTTAACCTTAAAATATATTTTTCATAATCACTGCCTCTAAAGGCAGAAGGTATAAAGGTCCAGGAGAGAGACTGCAGCACGCTGGGAGGTTTCTACAGTGCAGCGAAATGAGTCAGTGCCATCTACCGGCTGCAGGGACCCGTCCACTTGCACACTCACCGGATTCAGACTCAAATATTAAGAAGAATCAACTTCTTACACGTCTTCTCCCGTGACACAACCATAATGCTTCCAGCGTCCCCCTGCAATGCTGTAACGAATGACACCGTTTCAAACGCAAATTCTCCCAAGAGGTTAAGGGTCCAGATCAGAGCCCTTTGGCACAACCGTGGCTCCAGACATGTCCATGTCCAACCATACCGAGAGCTGCTAGGGAGGCCCAGCGGGCCAATCCAGGGCTACAGCTCCAGAGTTTCACAGCCCTACTCTTTCCTATCATCTACACTGGGATCTCCCTTCGCTATCCCTGACAAAATCATAAATAATTGTGACATATGATGTACTGGCAATGGCAACCCTTGAGCTGGCCCAGATCCACACTGAGGAAGAGCTTTGGAAATGCCAAGTATCAGCAGTACTGCTGGCATCCCCGAGGGACAGCGTGGCATGGTCAGTTTCTAGCACAGCAGTCACAAAGAAGTACCACTCCAAGGCTACTGAGAGCGATCAAAGCCAGGATGAGATGCCAGGCATTCCTGGCTATCAGTGTTGCTCTCCTCTGTTGGATCAGATTTAATTGGTGAACAGATTCTAAATGAGCTTCTCACCATTTTTAAAAGGAAAATATATCATCATTCTATAATTATTCCGTAATTAGCCTTGGGTGCCACATCACTGGCACTGAGGAAAATACACATTTCTGTTGAAGCTTCCTCTTGAAGGGCAGACAGATTTGCTCATCCTTCAAATCCTAATTATCCCCCAAACTTCTCTTTCAGCATTAATGGGCTCTGGCAGGTTCCAAATGGCTGGAGGACATGTAATTTTGTGCTGCAGGAATCGCCTTGGGCTCCGTTTGCTGCTGAGTGCTCTCAGAGCTGAGGTGCCGTCAGTCTCTTTTTAGGGACGCTGGTTGAACTGAGTTCATCAAGCTGCTTATGTCAATGCCAGTAAAATCAATAAGCATCTGAGAGAGCCCCAACACTGAGAGAGTGGTTACTGCCTTTCCCAATGAAAATGAGCAAGAAAAGGAAGACTGTCTCTGGAAACCCCCATGTAATGCAACATCAATTGCAGAGGAAGCAGAACAGTGTAGGAGCAGCACAAAGCTAACCTGGATCAGGATGCTGTGCACCAACAGCATCCATACTATGGGACAGCAAGCCCCTTACTATGCTCTTACTTAAGCGCTGGCAGCGTGTTCCTTGATCATTCGGACACAAAGGTGGCTTGTCCTCATTGTTGGAAGTCCACCATGCAAAGAGACCACTGAACCAGCAGCTCCTCTGAAAAGGTGTGGTTTCAAGTCACTGTTCATGAAAGGGACCCTTGGTGTATTCCCAACAGGCATGAAGGAAACGTTGCAAGGCTGTGAGGAACAGTATCCAAGGAGGAGAGAATACTGCAGGCTCAAAACTTTAGGAGGGATTTCAGAGCTGGCTCCTCTCCAAGGCTTTGCAATGGACAGCCTGTGCAGAGGCAGACACATGGGCAGGCATTAGGGCCTATTTTAGGGCAGGCATATTTCGGGCCTGAATTCCTCTTCCTGAATGCAGTACTTGCCTTTCTTGAACTTCACGTTTAAGAACATCTGTTCATTTTACTAAAATAATTTAAATTTGTTCCTTTTGCTTCCTAAGGTCTTGCCAACAAACTCTATCCGGTACCACAAGCAAGTTTTACACATGTTCTTTACACCTTCACCCCAGCCAGTGCTGTAACAGTAAGCAAAAGTGGTAAAACCTCCCCCTGCAACACCCCACAGTGACAGGAGCCATCGCAGCTAAAGAACACATGGTTAAAAGACCATGCTGCACAGAAGCGTGACGTGCGCCATCTGCAGAGAAGCAACCCAGGCCATCGTCTTTAGCATTCCTCTGGGCACATCGTGGGGGAGAGCTCCAAACTCTCACAACCCAAGAGCTGTGTTTACTGCACCTGCTTTTTCACTATTGTCAGCTACAAAGAAGAAAAAGAGCTTAAATTGCCACAATTTATTTCTGACAAACCAGGTTATTTTTCCCTGCCAGTGATGATTTGCTGTGTAAGCATCTGGTAGAAAACTGTCTTACCAGATACTGAAATCTGAGTTACCTGCAATTCCCTAAACCAGTCTCTTTTCCCTTCCTTTTGCTAAAGAGCAGGAATGGGGAGAGATTTGACAAAAGGTGAAGGAAAAGTGCAGAGCACCAAGGTACATTGCTGCCTTAAGGAAAAAAAAAAAAAAAAAAAGAGTATTTTTCCAGAAAGGCCAGGAATCAGTGACAGAAAAGGGGTTTTTTACCATGCCAGTAAACAAGCTGTGAGCACGGAGGACGGTTTGCTGTCCTCCCCACAGCACCGCACCCCAACAGAGCCCCGCTGGGGAAAGCTCCTGGCCACCCACCCCCAAGAGAAGGCCACACTAGCCAGGTGCCACCTCCCGGCCCTGCCCCGAGCCTGAGGAGAGCGACGGGCAACCCGCTGCCTGCTAGGCCGCGGCCGTCGCATAGCAACTGGGGGCGGGCACCGCCCCCCCGTCCTTAACTAGTCGAGTGGGCCCGCCCCCTCCTTTATCTTCCCTTCTCATTGGCTGCTCCTCCTATGATCGGCGTGAACGCTCACCAGTTCTCACCCTCCACGAGCCTCTCCGGCGTCGGGGGTGTGGTGCTACCCGGAAGACGCCACAGGAAGCCGAGGGCAGGAAGGGGGGGAGGAACACAAGAGAGAAGGATCCGCTGCGAGCGCCAATAGGAAAGGAGAAGAAGAGCGGTTCAGCCAATGGCAGGGCGCGGAGGGCGGGGTCCCTGGGGGCGGGGCTATTGTAGCCGGCAGCCGGCGGCTCCAGGAGGCGGCAAAGGGGACGGGGGGGACCCCGGGGGTGCTGGCGGGGTTAGGGGGACCCCGGCCTGAGGGGAGGCTGGGGGCTGCGGGGACCCGGGCCGAGATGTGCCCGGTGGTGAGGAGGATGCCGGCCTGAGGGGAGACTGGGGCCGGGGGAGGGGGGCAGGAACCGGAGGTCCTGGACAGGGAGGAGCTGGGGGTGAGGGGGGCCAGGCTGGGGAGGGAGACGTGGGGAGGGAACGGTGCTGGAGGAGGAGCGGCGGCTGAAGGGGAACAGGGAGGGTCTGGGGGCGGATTTCCACACCGGGAGGACGCGCAGGGGCCTGGAGCCTTTGCCTTCAGAGGTCGCAGGGCTGGAGGAGGGCTGGGAGCTGGGGGAGGGAGGAGGTGGGTAGCTGCGCCGTACATGTACGGGACAGAGCTCCTTCAACCCCTGCAGAGCCCGGTGCCCATGCTGCTCATGGGCATCAATGTCTCCTCCTTATGCCGCTGTCACATTAACATGTAGCGGATCCCATAAGGATTTGCGTTACGCCGAACACTGTGTGCACCCTGCCCTGATGTGCTTAGAGGTGGCAGGGAAAGGTGGGTGCTTGGGATAACTCCTAACAGCTGTGACAGAAACCCAGACGACGTATGCACAAGTCCACACAGGTGCCATGTCTCCAGCACCACGCTTGCCCCATCACATGGAGCTCTGGCTAAAGCTGTTTCTCTTCCCAGGTGGGAGCAGTGGGAAAGGAGATGTTCCTTGTGTCTGCGCTGGAAGCAGGATGAATCTCGTGTCTATGGCGACAGATCCCGAGTTGAAATGGATAACCCTGTGGGTCCGAATCAGGTGGGCGGCCGTGCTTGTGCTCCTTCTGGGCTCGCTCGTGATGCTACTGCTCCCGTTGGCTGCTGTGGAAGACCAGTGCCATGCAGTGCTCAAAGGACTCTCCTTCCTGAAAAGTAAACTGGGTGCGGGCTCCTCAGGGGTCACCAGATACACAGGACAAACAACTGGGCTGAGCGTGACCTCCAATGGGCTGGAGCTGCTGGTGCTGAAAGGCAAAGCCTCCCCAGGTAAGAGTGTCCCCAGGGCAGTTGCAGGGGAACAGCTGATTCTCTGTATAATAACAACCCACATCTTAGAGATCTGTCCCCCCCTACCTGATGATCTCCTGTACCCCATAATGGTAACAAACTCTCACTGCCCAACTGCAAATTAACATCACCCAGAGGTCAGACATGCCATAGCCAGCCTGACTGCATTCCGTTGCCCTGCACCACAGAAGGGCGATGTGCTGGTGTTCTCTCAGTGCTGCTTTGCCTCTCAGAAGTTTTTCCTCATGATTTCAGTACGAGTAAGTTCTGTTAAGGTAACTGGAATACAGAGTATACTTAATACAAAGTAACTTGGGGTACACAGCATTAATCCTGAAATCCTGGCTGTCATAGAACTGCCTTTCTGGCAATGACAGGCTGCAGTCATTGCCTTTATTGGCCAGGACGTTAATTTGGAAGACAGTCAAAGGAATCATTACCATTCCAGCACTGTATCTTTGTTCGTTTTAAAGCTGTTATTGCTGGGAAGGTGTTTGATAGTTCAGTGAAAAAACGGATAGAAGTGCTGTAAGCAGCTGTGGGCTGTGCTGCTAGCAAGAGAACTGGCATTATTGCCAAGAGAATGTATTTAAGACTCTGTGTCCCCCCACACAAAGCAGCCTGGTGGCTGAAGCGAGTTTTGCCGGGATGGCTACACGCCTGTGGTCAGCTTGAGCCATGCTGCTCACAGATTATCCCTCACCACGCTTCCTGCCAGGAACAGCTCTGCTGCCACGTACTCAGCCTGTAAACGTGGCATAAGCCTCTGCGCTTGTAGCCCAGCAAAGGCTGGAATACAAGTTCTCTGTTACGGTTCTGACAGACTGACTGGCTTTATTTAATTTTTTTATCAGTGAACAGTGATGGTCTCCAGAGGTCTTCAGTAAAACTCACTACCCTGTTATCTAACTGATATTGTTGCATTTCAGAAGTGAAGTTAGAAGCCAAAGCAGCTCTGAATCAAGCCCTTGAAATGAAGCGCCAAGGAAAGCGGGAGAAGGCGCACAAACTCTTTGTGTATGCCCTCAAAATGGACCCTGATTATGTGGATGCCCTGAATGAATTTGGTATCTTTTCTGAAGAGGAAAAAGACATTCTTCAAGCTGACTATTTGTACTCTAAAGCACTAACCATTTCACCCTGCAACGAGAAGGCTTTGATCAATCGGGACCGGACGCTACCTTTAGTTGAAGAGATAGATCAGAGGTATTTTAGCATTATTGACAGTAAAGTTAAAAAAGTGATGGCAATCCCCAAAGGCAATTCTGCCCTGCGCCGAGTGATGGAAGAGTCCTATTATCACCACATCTACCACACGGTTGCTATTGAAGGAAACACTCTGACGCTGTCAGAAATACGACACATCATTGAGACCAGATATGCTGTTCCTGGAAAAAGCTTAGTGGAGCAGAATGAAGTGATTGGCATGCATGCAGCTTTGAAATATGTCAATACCACGCTGGTATCACGGATAGGCTCTGTAACCATCAGCGACATCTTGGAGATACACCGGAGAGTGCTGGGCTATGCTGACCCAGTGGAGGCAGGACGGTTCAGGACTACTCAGGTGTTTGTAGGACATCATATACCACCACATCCCCAAGACGTTGAGAAACAGATGCAGGAGTTTGTGCAGTGGATTAACTCAGAAGATGCCATGAGCTTGCACCCTGTGGAATTTGCTGCGTTAGCCCACTACAAGTTGGTTTACATCCATCCATTCGTAGATGGCAACGGAAGGACCTCGCGCTTGTTAATGAACCTCATACTAATGCAGGCAGGCTACCCGCCCATCACAATCCGCAAGGAGCAACGGGCCGAGTATTACCATGTCTTAGAAGTAGCCAACGAGGGCGATGTAAGGCCTTTCATACGCTTTATTGCTAAGTGTACTGAGACGACTCTGGACATGTTGCTCATTGCCACCACAGAATACTCCGTGGGCTTACCTGAAGCAGATGGCAGCACTGCTGGATGCAAACAAACTATCCCTGTCAAGACCTGAGGGTTGTGGACATTCAGGAGCCAGTAAACACATGGGAGAACGCCAAGCCACTCAGTATTCCTGCTGGGAAATAACTCAACAGGAGATGTCACTTTTTAGCATTTCATTTATTTAAAGTGTCTTACATTGGATTAAATTAATATAATTTATTTATATACATAATGCCAAGTTGAAATGTGAACTGTTGATGTTGATTGTGCACTATAACTTGCTTGTGCTACTGGAAGGAGGTAGGGAGAGGTGGCAGAGGGGCTCAACAAGCTGAAGCAGAATTTAGTTTCTCCTTAAAATTAAGCTTTGAGAAGCCACTTCAATCACAACCCTTCACCTAGTCAGTCAACTGCATCGTCTTACCTTGTTAAGGAGCTGCTAGGCAAGACAAAGTCTTAACTGAATTGTTGCTTTTGTGTTACCTCTTCCCTGTTGTTAAAAAAAAAACAAAACACAAAAAAACCCCCACCAACCCCCAAAACACAACCCTTGCAGTAACAGCACTTTCCCAGCTATATTAATCAGACTCTTTCCTGTCAGTCATACAAGTCTGACAGTACTGATCAGGAAGGAGGCTAAACTCCAGTTCAGCAAAGGCATCTCTCCCCTCCCACTTCTGTTTTCAGTAGCACTGTGCATGTTTAGTTTCAGTTGCCTTTCTTAGGGTGAGTTTTGTAGAACAAGTGGGAAGTATTTGGTTTAAGATTACAGATGATGTGACTGAACAAGAGAAGAAATGAACTTCTTATTCACTGAACTGCGGGGTGCTTTTGCTGTACTTCAGACAGAAGGACTACCTAGCACTGAGGCTTTGCCTCAGAGCCCAGGAAGCCCTGGGAAACCGCAACTGTCCTTATACATTTCAGTTCAGGGTTTGAAAAGAGCTTGCTTCTGCAAAGCTGTAGGCAGAAAAGGTTCTTATACATAACTATGAGACAATTATCAATTTATTATTTATCAATTGTGCCATTTTGGTAAGAATATGTTACCAAAAACTTCAGTTTCTTCAATCTACACAAGAGAACTTTTCACAATTAATTACTAGGTCATGTTATTACTGTGATAAATGCATCAAGAATCCCATGAAGCCTCTTTGTGCTGCAGTGGCAGTTAAGTGTAGTACCTGAAAGCTGCTGTGCAATTCAAAGCAGCATACTTATCTTTGTTTTTAAGGTAAAAGCACCTGCAGCCTAACATAGAAGAATAGCTCCCTACACCCCTGCTTGGCAGTTGTGCAACAGCATAATTGATCCCAACAAACATCTCTAAGGTCAGAAAACTTCCATTCCAGTTTAGCGTGCTGTGAAGTTTAAACCCTTTGCAAAACAGCATAAGCTATTAGACTGTCCCAGGCCAGTGTTAAGTTTCTTCCCTTCTAACTCTCTCTTACTTGCAAGGTAGCTAGGACATATTTTATACAAGCAGACAATAGGACAAGACCAGGAGTTCTCTATATGCTACAGCACCACTCCATGCTTATGTACCAATTACTGCTGACAGGGAAAGCAAACAATAAATGAGGAAGGTTGTTCTGTCCTTACAAAGTGTGCTTATTTTTGTAGTGCAAGGTGAATATAAATAAAATCTGCACTTTAGAGCTCGGGGGGGGGAAATGTTATTTTAGTAACAGATTAATAAACTATTTTAATATTAAAAGTCTTTGTTTGGAATAGGCTGTTCTCAAAACATTCTTCTGCTGCAGTGAACTAAAAAGGGGTCATAGCTCAGTTTGTGGAGTAGCAAGTTACACAGTGCACATCCTGGCTCCTTCAGCTGCCTGCAACTGTACTGCAGCATGAGGTGCTACAGAAGGTTCCAAAGCAGCAAGTCCAACCCAGCAGCCAAAGGAAACTTATGTGCCAGCCTTAGCATTCCCACCTCACGAATCAAAGCTTCTTATTGAAGTGTTATTAGAATGTTTCTAAGCTGATTTTGAGATACAATCCCACTGTATCATCAGGATAATACTGGATGGCTAGCCAAAGAGGCTGCACACCATACAGTGACAAAGCACCAACAGAACTTGCTCCCTTGCTGTATCACCACAGCTGCCAATGTTACATGCTTCAATCATTTCAAAGTAAAGCCAAGTCAAGTTAGCACAGAATGTAAGCACTGAAAATAGTGTTTATTTGCAGCAGTACTTGTGTTGTACAAGTGAACTTGGTACTGGTGTCTCCCCTCACATTCAGCCCCTGCATGTGTTGACTTCTAGAGTTAGCGTCAGTTTTAGTCAGACAAGCAGTAATATTTCTGTCCAAGATCACATACCAGATTATTTTAAAGTCTGAGGTGATTACTGAAGTGGTTCCAGGATATTCGTACTAGATGGAATGAGCTACTTAAAGGTATGCAAGTGACACCATGTATCTCAGTGCACCTGAGAGGCGAGGTACATCCGTATTACCCAGCTGCCATAGGTTAAGTGCAGTTCCAACACCCACATTTAAACAAAAGCAACAGTATTTATAGAAAACCTTTGAGAACTTGAGTTTAATAAACCAAGAAACATCAGCTTGCACTTCACATTTGTACAAAACCATACAGAAACCACCTGCAAAAGACATGAGAGCTAGCTAGCGAAAACAACAAAAAAAATGGTCCTCAGCAACAACATGTACAGCTTTTATGGGAAACAAAAATTACCAGATCTAAGTATTATCTCATGACACTTAAAAATAATAATTTGAATGTCTTTTACAAATACACAATATAAAAAACAGGTCAACTCGAACAGAACATTAACTGCTGAATACATATATATGTGTATTTGTGTATATACATATACACACATATGTATAGAAACTCTCCCAATACTAAAATAGGCCATTGTGGTGAAGTTACTAGCATCTGCCATTTAACTCTTAATGGAAGGAGATGAATGTCCCTGCGTGCGTGTGTTTGGGTGTAAAATGGGTTCATTATCAGAGAGAATGACTGCATCACAATCTGAACTGACCAGTGGAGCTTGACAAGGTTATCACTAGGCTTTCACATTGCATCTCATTCATTAATGAAAGAGAAATATTTATAAAGTATTCTTAAAACTTGATGTGGCACCTAACCTGTACAGGAAATATTTCCCCCCTCGTTACCCTCAATATGAGGGATCATATAACACCATTTTACCAGAACATAGTTTAACTCTTTGCTCTTAGAAACAGAGGAGAAAAACCTGAATTTGTACCATCCTACACTGATCTCGATGAATGCAGTAGTCCAGAACAGTATTTACACACGATTGTGACTGGCGTTCTCTCCTTGCTAGCGTAAGGACACAACATGGCTTCCATAAAGGCATTTCACATTTTACCAGACCCGCTGATTGCAGACTTTTTGCTCACTTTTTCAGTAGCATCTTGGCAAAATCAGCATTGGACATCTTTTTAGGCTCCTCAAGGGGTTCGGATGAAGTTGCTGGTGAGTTCTGGACCATCCCATTCTCAGCCTTAGCCACAGGATTACTCTGGCGCTGTAACGCACGAGGCATCATTGAAAGCTGTGTCCTTCCCTTTCCTCGCCTGGAGAACAAAAAGTGACATTTAAAAATATCCCAGTGCTCTTTGAACACACTGTTTTAGCTTAGGGAAACACAAAGGACTTTGTTCACTATGAAGAACACTCATTTAAATGTTATTTCTGTCATTTGTTTCAGTAATAAGTAGTGCAAAGCTTTCAATGGGTGCCCTTTGAAACAGTATACCCAAGTCCTGGCAGAAAACAACTGCCCAACAGACCCCAGAAACTGAAGCTCTGTGTTTATCTACAGGGCACATGCAATACAACACCAATGCAATGCAAAGCAGCAGGAGCACTCTAAAAGATGGAAGAGCAGCCCTAATGCTCACTGCAAACAACGGCTGGTTCTCCAGAATGAGAGGACATAGAAGTTATTGGTGCTCAGGTGCTAACATCAGATCCAACGGGATGTCCAATGGCCAATACTTCCAGTCACTACAGACCTGTTTCTATTGTGAAAGAAAAAAAAAAATCTGCTTTTCCTCATCAATCCAGCAACCCAATTTTTTTTTATGGTTCAGCACCTTTTAAATGTTCTCTCATGTTCTAGAGAAGATTCCTACATTCTAGTGTATAAAGAAACCCAGTGTTTCCTTTTTAAGCATTGCCAAGCAGTCTTCCTCACCAATACTTACGCTCCGTAAACCTGTCGTGGTACCGCAAATTGCGAGGCTCTGCCTGCCTCAGGCTTGTCTGGCAGCTTTCGGAGAGGTGGGTTACTGATCGCCACCTTGATGACATGTTCCTTCACTGTCAAGCCATCCATTTTCAGCACAGCCTGTGAGGCCTGAGCTTCATTTTCATATTCCACATAGGCCAGGCCCTAAATAAGGAAAAGAGGTAACCTACATTAGTTTTAGTGCTTCTGTCTCTGCATGACTGCTTTTGCAAATAATTTGGCCAGCTGCTAAGAAAATCATACAGAAAGCAGACCTAAACATGGCTCAGAGTCCCAGTATTCTTTAGCTGGGGAAAAAAAAAAAAAAAAAATCTTATTGACACATCTACAACCTCCACTTCTTGACTCTTATTCATGATGCCCTAATTTGTGGAAAATATATTAAAAAGAAAAAAACCCAACCAAACAAAAAAACCCCAAGATACCAGTAAAGTAAATACAATAAACTACCATGTCAGTGGCAAGTCTTCCCTTTGAGATATATATTACATATATATCCATGCTGAATCTGGTATTGAACAGATTGGGATTCATAGTGGAATAAAAGATAAATCAATCTGTAGAGCTAGAACAGAAAGCTAGAACAGAAAGATATATACACACTCTCCTGTGATTCTTCACTAAGCTACAACTCATACCTAAGGAATCAAGTTACCAACATAGGGCCATCGCGGCCACCTTGGTTTCAAGAGCAGTAAAACCCATCTTAAGCAGCTCCACCAAAACTGACAGACCCTGTCTCCAAAGAGACTGGCTTTGCTGCCCTGAGAACAGGGACTGGTGACAAAAGCGTTCTTTGCAGGACATGGATCTGTGTTGACTTTGTGCAGTAACAGCTGATAACCGCACCGCTGCTGGTGTGCCTTCAGTAATTGGGTCTTATTTCCAGCAAACAGACAAAAGGGCAGCCACCGGCATCTGCTACGGCAGGCTCCTACAGCAAGTACACTAGCTGGGAGGCATCACCTCTCAGTTCTGTTATTGTTATTCTTCTAAATGACATTCAAACCCTTAAGCTGTATTTTTGGATTATCCCACAGGAAATACAGATATTATTTTTCTTTTACATCAGATTCAAAGTACATTTATTTGTGGTTTAGAGAGAATCCCAGCTGAAACTAAGCTCAGAACGTGGACTGCAAGACTTGGGGTACACATGACAGCGCTCATTACAAGGTATGCATGCAACAGGAACTGTACTTGAGATACTACCAAAAGCAAGAAAATAGATCAACCCCAGGATGGCACCAGTTACAAGTGCCCAACATTCAGATATGACCGAGGTGTCAGGTAGAATTTTGGCAGAGCAGCAGCTGGTTTAAAGTCTCTTATTTAACAACGAGTCATTTATTCCAGGATGGAAATAATGAGCCCTGTCAGAGAGACTTGCCTCTTTTCTCACTGGCATATCTATTATTGCAGCAGGTATTATGAACAATAGCCTCAAGAAACTGAAGAGAGGGAGGAGGGGACTCAGTTATACCAGATGAACCCTGTCTAGTCAATTACTTTAAAAACAAATATTCTTTGCAGACTTACTAACGTCTATTTTTACTATACTGATAGTGCTGTAAACATCTTCCCCTCCATCCCCTTTATATCACACATACTCGTTGTGCAATTTAAGAAGTATTTTGGAAAAATTCTTCTTCCCCTCCTACTTCTTATTTGTTAGCACAAAGGCACACTGTGCTATATAAATCCAAACATTTCTACAAGTTTTAATGCAAAGCCAGGTTGGCAACTTTTAAATACAAAACCTACTTTTTGTATCCAAACTTCATGAAGAGCTTCTTTTCAAAGAATTTCTTGAAATTAAAGAGTGGATTAAGGATGCCTACCTTGGGTTTTCCAGCTCGGTTGGTGACCAGCCGAATGTCTTTCACATTCCCATGTGCTTTACACACATCTTCCAGCTCTTCTTTAGTGCAGGAAAATGGCAAACCAGATATAAACAGTTTATGTTTCTCCAGTGTAGTGCTATACCTGAACACCTGAAGAAACAAGGCAGCTGTTAGTTCACAAACCAGAGACTCCAAGGATTTTAATCTATTACACCCCCAAAAGGTTAGAGTACTTCATATTTGCATGATCCAAAACTACCTTAAAGCCATGAGTAGTATCTTGAAAGATATTTGCATATAGACACAGGCACACACTAAGGACTTGCAAGTAAACGCTCCTAAACATCTATGTCTCCTTTACAATGAGGGCAGCCATTGATAACGTCTTCTTGCTCAGTTGTCACCATCTGAACATTAAGTTTTTCTGTACAAAAACTCCATAATGCAGGAAACCACTGATTACACAACTGATCTCTAGTACAGACCATTAACAAGAATGAGTGGGTTGTGTAACAAATGCCCACAGCTGTATGACTCAACCAAAAAAAGTACTTCACAGACTGAGATGCTCAGGTAAGAATCTGGGTACATCACACCATTAACAAGGTGCTCAGATTAGCAGATTTCTGCAAATCTTGGAGTAAGCTAATGTCAATCCTGGTTTATGGCAAAGTAACATAAGACGCAAGAACTCCCAGAAAACAGTTTTACTGCTAAGACATAAAATTACCATTCCAAAATAGCACAACATGAATTCATTAGATGCAAGCACTCTGGAAGCAACATACTCTGGAAGCTTTCCTATGCAGTCCCACTGTTCAACCTATTACTTGAAAGAATAAAAGTTTACCTTAAAGTCTGGATTCTTGTTCTTGTCAACACATGGAGAAACAAACATTGGTCTTCCCTCCACAACTTTACGATCCAAGCCAAGAGCTTGGAGAGCAGATTTTTCTTCCTTGAATTCTACATAGCAGTAGCCCCGGAAAATCCCCTTGTTGCTGAACACTGGACGGATTTCTGCTACCTCCCCACAGGTCTCAAAGAGCTCTTTCAGTTTCACTTCAGGATCTGCCATGTTGTAGGAAAGGTTGCTGACAAAGACGGTAACATTATCTTTACTGCTGTCATGTAAAACTTTGGGGATGTCTTTTCGACTGGTAGATGGCTTTTCCTTCTGGTTTGCTGGGCAATCTGGCTTTTCAGGTCCACTTCTTCCAAACAGCCCGGTTTCCACCTCCATGTCTTCTTCAGGAAGTACGCCATCACCATCACCCTTGTGTCTCTTGCTGGGCTGCTCTGCCGATTAATGAAATGGAAAGCCTTACTAGAAAAAAAATTACACTATGTCCTTCAGCACTGAAATTATGCCATCCTCTATTATTACCACTACAGAGTTTGGAAATGGCATGTGAAACCACAAATACAGTGACAGGTATTAAAGACACAAAATAAAAATCTGCCTCAGGTTTTTAAGAACGAGTAACAACAGATTATTTGACCAAGACAGCAAGTATTTAGATGAAAGCAACAGGGATATTTTTTGCCTTTTTTCTGTCAGTTACAACTACTGATTCATGTTCTTTCTCTTTGTCTAATGGGAAAAGTAAGAAACACAAAAATGTAAGAGCTCTCAAAACTCCCAGGGGCAGCAACCTATTAAAATCTTCTGTTACCATTCATTCCAAGAGACTGCTACAATACTGAATAACCCAATTTAGACACATGCCTCAGCATCATTCAACAAGTCAGGAAAATGACTTTTTTTTTTTTAAACAAAGAAGAAGAAAAAAAAAAAAATCACTATTACTCTGAAATACAAAAAGCCCTATAGAAGTTCTTATAAACATATACTTCTGTTGATCAAAAACCATTTAGTCTTGCTTTCATTTCACTACCACAAAGATCTAGGAGAAAGAGAGCCTGAATAGATGGCAGCTCTAAAGATACCACTTCCTCACTGCCTCTAACAGAGGGGAGACAACTAATAACCCTGTTGCCAGAGGTCTGAAGTTTGGCTTTTTTTTACCTTCTTCTTCTTGTCCCCATTCACCCTCATCATCATCATCTGCTTTGCGTTTGTCTCCAATCCTGGTTTTTTTAGCCTTTTTGGAAGCTTTCTTTTCTGCTCGAGCCTGCTTTCGTTGTTCAGCTTTCTCCTCCTCCTGCTTGGCCAGAGCAGCTTCTTTCTCAGCAGCCTACAAATATGCAAGATTTTTTTTTTTCTAGTGACTACAGATTGCAGAGCATTTTCTAGAGTACTGAACCTGGAGGGGTTTCTCCTACGGTACATTAAACATAGCGCTAATGGGATCATCATTTAAAGCACTTCTCAACTGTTTGCTCTTACAGCTTTCCCAGAGTGCACATTATTACTCTTGTATCTGTCCAAGGGTCAAAAGGTAAAAGATAGAAGAGTATCAAAAGAGGTTAACCATAGACTAAAATCAATATTTCTAAGGCTTTAAGACAATTCAGGCTTATCTACGGGAATCAACATTAGAAAACTGACACTTAGACAAGCATGATCTTAATATAGGTATTTCCTATAAACTGCTTAGATAATTCACAGAGTTCTGACCTTTGCTCTTTGTTCATTAACTCGAGCCAATCTGTTTTCTGTTTTTTGAACAGCTGCATCCCAGTCTTCCAATGTTCCTAAAGGATAAAAAAAAGCCTTGTATTTAGCTTTCCCATAATTTGAAAATACAATTCTGGAAAAATAAGAGTCAATGAGTTCATGGAACTTGCTCTTAACATTAACCATGACACATGAAAATTCTAAATATAATGAGTAGCCTTCAAAGAAAAAGAAAACAAAAACTAAGCAGAGCAGAAACCTCTCATTTATAATATGACACTCCAAAAAGGCATGGAAAAACCCAGTAATTTCAGCAGGCTCCAAGTCAGGCCAGAAAAGAAGAAAAAAGGAAAGAGCTGCTTGTGTATATTACAGCAGTGAAAAGAAAATAAGCCTTCACCAGAACACAAAACACTAGATCAAAATTCACTCTGTATCATTGTACACTAACTGGACTGGGTAAAACAAGATGACATGCAGTTAGTTACCTTCTATTCTCTCCAGTGTGAGCAGCACCTCACAGACGTGCTCTGGATAGTCACTTGTGCACTGCACAGCTCGATGCAAGGCCTTCCTGCAGTGCTGAGTATCACCGTGAGCTCTGCGGTAGGGAAACCATGGTAGTAAGGAGCAAATCCTCCACATCAAGATTACAAGACAGGACACTTAACTACATTGTATGCAAATGTTTTTCCTCCTTCCCCAGCAAACTTGCACTACACATTGTTGCTGTAATACTTCTGAAATATACTGCAGAGCTTCTTTAAGAAGCTCAAAAGCATATTATAAACCCATATGAAGTATACCCATACTAAGTATCTAAGTCTTGTCTCACACAGAGAGGAAACTAAAAAGGTAATTAACTCTTCCAGCCAGCCAAGCTCTTACCTTTCTAGGTTGTAATACTCCAGCCACATGTTAGCGTATTTGGCATTTCCTTTAGTCATAATGTTGTCCCAGAGTTCTCTGGCTTTCTGCATGTTGTTACATAAGCGGGCCTGAAACACAGCATCCAAAGCACTCAGTATAATTTAGGATTATTTGTTCAACGCCATTACTCCCCAGCCTCCCCCCAGCCCCCAAAACAAGAAACCACCACAGATGATGCACACAGCCCCAGGAAGACAGATCTTCTTCTTAGAGCAATCAAAGTGAACACCTAACGCAATCCTACTACTGAATAATACTTCCCTGCCCACCTGTTACATCAATCTTGGTTTCTGGCTCCCACATACATTTCATTTTGGTCATTATAAAAAAAAAAAAAAATTAGATAGTTGCTTCTAAACTTTTCCTTTTGTCATCAGAGCACTTAAACACAAACCAAACCCAGTTCTCAGTCTAGAAGTTTTTAGGAAATGGAGCAGGGAGAAGTGCTTAGGAAAGGGCACAGGGGAAGAGGGGAAATGGATTAAGACACCCAAGTGGGATTCACCTGATCTAAATGTAGAGGTACATGAGTACACTAGACAGCTGACTTATTAGAACTGCTTTAGCATAAGCTGAATCACACCTGGATGTATCCATTTTCTCCCTCCACTAAGTGGACAGAAAGGGAAAGTAATTAATTCAGGTTCAGGCCCACATTGTTCAGGAGGATTACAATGCCCAAGACTTTGGCAATCCATCCCATGCATTATGCCCAGAAAAATTATAGCACAAAAGTTAACATGACTTATCCTGATTCGTATGAGCCTGTGGCAAAGGAAGGAAAAAAAAACCATCCACTCGCAGACAGTGACTGCACCAGCACACTGATACCTGTACTAGTTTGAAACTAGTTAGCATAGGCAGCACTAAACTAGGCAGGATTCAAGGCAGTTCACAGACTTAGTGTGCAGTTCCAAGCCACTGTGGCTAGCCTGATAACCAAGTTACTACTCACACATTTCTGTGCCATACTGCAGTCACAGCAGTACAAACATGCTAACAATCCTGACCACCTTCTCACAGAGAATGCCGTTTCTTTCCTGGGATGTTGTGCTTTCAGTCTGAATCTATACTACATGCTTGACCAGTCCAGACACAGGAGTGGAAAAAGAAATATATACTCATTGAAGTTACCCAGACAAAATGCCAAAGTACAAGAGAATTGCATCCTGTACTTGGAATGTTAAAATGATCAATTTCCTCTAGTCTAGCAATTTAAATACAGCAGATAGAAACATCACCTCAACTCTTGCCCAGTTCTGCATGATGGTGCAGGATGGATCTCCACTCTCACTGAATCCTGGGAATAAAAGTAAGTACTGTTTGTGAATGGCTCTCGGAAATAAAGTGTTTACTAAACAAGTTTTACATTGTAGATGAAATGTTTATCTGTAGCTTTCTTAAAATGTGAGACCCTTGAAGACAAGTTAAACATTGTGTAGAAAACTGGTCTTATAAAAAAATATTTTGAAGAAGAGAAAACAATGTATCAGATGATTTAACTTACTCTCTTCTACTTCTTGTTTCAAGTACTCCACAGCACGTGCAAATGCAGACCGCAGCTCTTCTAGTTCTTTACTTGAGTCTTTAGAAGAAAGAAAGAATTGCCTTAAAATAATAATTTAATTTTCATCTCCTGTCCACTACAACTTCTCCCTAACACCCAGTTATTTTACTGGGAGGTGGGGAAATGGGGAAAAAAAAAAAAAAAAAAAAAGCCAAAATTTATTACTTCAGTAAAACTCACTACATGCATAATAAAAAAAAAACAAACATCAAGTACCTAAAATATAAGCCAGGGCATTTTTGCAAAAGCACAATCTATTCTGTCAGCAAGGAGCTGCTTTAAACCAAGTTCATATATTTTATAGACACTAACTGGCCAGAAAGTAGTTTTTGTGAAAGATAAGAAACTACTGTTAATTTTTTTAAAAAGTAATGCCACTACTTCAGAGAGATACATAGAAAACAGTTCAAATATTTATTCACACATATATCATATATACCTTGTGTAAAATCCACCCTCCTTCTTAGGTAATCAAGATATGCCTGCCAGATTTCTACATAGTCTGTTGCCTGAATAAAACCTGCATTCAGAGCTTTTTCAAACATTTCTGAAAGAAAACAGGGAAAACACCCACACAAACATATTTACTTTTCAGATATTGACAAAATTAGCAAGCTACAGTGTATAGCACAAAAGTATAGACACCTTACATTTCTAGGAAGACGGGAAAACACAAGAAATCCTACATATAGCAAATTGGTTTAGAAAGTGAATTTAAAAGCCAGTTTAATTCAGTAATGTTCATGCAAGGTTGTTCATTGCTTGTTCAGAGTTAAAGCTACTCAGCAAAAGCAGCTTTGCCCTAGAAGCACACCACTGTACATTTCATCAGCTTTAAGACTGTTGCAGCAGGGTGAAAACAAATCCTACAACATCCTACGAGTCACCATTTGTCACACATTACTCAGAGTGCAGAAAGCAGTTCTGTACTGTAAAGAAGCTTTGCTGAGATGGTCTTTCTTTACCAGAAATAATGCCGTGATCAACTCTATGCCTCTCCATCGCCAAAAGATATCTAATCCACAGTCCAACCGTCCAGGGACAGTTCCTAACAGCACGGTCATGAGCAGACAAGACCAATTCTTTCACTTTCAGCTGCCGGTCCTGAAATAACCATACAACAAAGTTTTAAGTTCCTGGTAGCCAGAGAGACCATCCGAGACAAATACAAGCTTAAAAGGAGCCAACACCTTAAAAAGAGTACTTTCATTTTATATTTGAAAAACTAAGACAAGATGGGTATTTTAAATTCTATGTTCCTAAAAACCCAGTGAACACCTTCAAATCAGAAAGGATATGCTCAGGAGCAACACAAACAAGAACTCCACACCACATTCATTCTGCAATACCTAACTGTCTGCTTCTAACCAAGCCAGTTCGGTATTTTCTGCCAATGAGATAAATATAATAAAGGCACCGAGTAAATTCCCAACTGTTCTTAGTACATTAAGAAGAGGGGAGGAAAGGATACAAGAAAGAGGGTGCACACATAGTCTACTCAGGCAGTCGCTGTTCCACCCGCAACCTGCTGTCTCAGGCTAGTAAGATAAAGAGACAATGGAGCAACTCAGCCTAGATAAGCCTCCTGTAGTGAGTTACACTGATCTCTTAATTAATAGATTGCCCTTCCGTCCACAGGTAAAGCCCTGCCTCTCAAGTTCAATATGATTTTCAAACTGCACGAACTAGCCCACATGTAAATATAGAGTAAACATCTGGGTTTGTTTCAGCTTGTTGGTAAATTAAGTTTTTTGTTCTCCACCACAAAACATTCTAGAGAGCACTGGCAACCCTCAAACAGGCACTTTCATTAATTTATCTGTGCCTCCTGAAGGACAGGCAGGCTCCCCAGTGATTCAGACAGCACTGAACTGCTTTGCCTACAACAGCTACAAGAAAAGGAGGGACATCCTCAGAAGCAATGCCTCACTACCAGAGACAATGCCAGGGCTTACAACAGTACAGCTGGTTACACCTAGCCAACCCTTTGCCAGACAGTACAAACCTCGATGCCCACCCCCAGTTTAATTCCACAGAGAAAACACACAGCTAGAGGAAAAAGTGAGGAAATACTCACTTGATCAATAAACACACCACTGAAAACAGAAAGAAACCAAAAGGTGAAGTGAAAATCAGCTTCTGAAGAATTTAAAGACTAAGGGACAGGACTGAGTTAGAACTTACTGGTCATTTGTTTGTTAGCCGCTAAGATTAAAAAAAAAAACAAAAACCAAAAAACACATAGGAAAATAAAACCTCAAACATCTGGTTTTTTCCTTACCAAATATTGGTTGTAGCGCGCCCAAAGATCTGGCACAAGGCAGTTCTCAGCCAAAGCCCTCTCATAGATCAACTGAATGCGAGCTGGATCACCTGCTTTCATTTCAAAATCAATATAAGCTTGATATTCTGCTAGCTTTGGTGTTTCAGCACCCAGCTATAAAACAAACAGGGATACAAAAAATTAAAGTCATCTAAATAAAGCACAATTCAAACAGTTCAATTGTTACTTAGAGTAGGTCTCACAAAATTTCAGACAAGAGCTTAGCCTCTAAGTATCAACAGCTTTTGATTTTCACATATCTCTGAATATCGCCCTGGTTCTTAAGCCATTCAGATCCCTACTTTTTATTCCTCTTAGCCCAGCATACTCATCAATGCTGGAGGAAACAGCCAGAGTACTAATGCACACCTTAGGGTGGCCCGACATAGTCAACAGATTCAATAGTTTCCCGTACACCCAGTTGTGAGGCTTCTTGCACATTGCTCACAGCTGAAAGAGTCACCTAGTAATACTCAGCCACTTTATCTCTGTGACTAGAAAAAAAAAAAAGGGGGGGGGGGGAAATCACCCCAAAGCAATTAACTCTTAGTTTTGAAGCAAGGTATAAGTAACAGCATTACCAGTGCCTCTTCATATGGTTTACACTTCTCCAATTGCTGTAGAGCTTTTTTGTAATTCTTTATTATTGTTTCTGGTATTGGATCTTCTGACCATTCCTCATATTCAGCATATGAAGCCTCCATATCTATTAAAACAAACATGAAACACCATCAGTAATGCACTTATGGGACTAAATAACCAGATTTCAAGCTACGTTTGATTCTAACACATATTTGTATTTTTATTTACACTTTCGATCTTAACTGTCACACTACTGCATGCTTAAAGGTTCAGACACTTCATCTTATACAGTGCACTACAACACAAATTCAGGGCAAGTTATATTAAAGCTACCTATTTGGATTTAGAAAACTAAAGTGGCAAGAATTCTCCCAAGGCTTTAAAGAAAAGAGAAGAAGCCAAATTCTTTCAATATGCAAATGAAGTCAAAGAACTGTACTTAACTTTCTCCTATAAGCAAAGCAGCAAGAAAAGGCACTCAAGGAGTTTAAAGTATGAGGTAGATATGGCAGGATTCTAACAACGCAGCTGTCAGCACGTACTACTCTGTACCAACCAAGGTTCTTATGTAGTGATCATCACAGCTGAAGTCCTAGTTCCTAATGGTCATGTTTTGTGCTCATCACTTGTAATTAAATAGCCTCAAATTATGTAATGAAGAAACAGATAAACAAAGTTTCAATGAGTAAGAATATTTCTGAACAAAAGGGATCCGTGCATTACTCAAGAGGCCCTAAAGGCAGGCAAATGTCATTGATTAAAGAATACACAAGTACTACAGCTACAGTTTGTGTGGCTCTACCAAAAGAATAAAGACAACTAATGCCTGGATCACTGTAACACGGCTTATCCATGCCATCTCTCCAAGTGCACCAGCTCTTACCTAACAACGGGATCCCCAGCTGGCGCCTGAACAGCGTGTGGATCTTCTCAAGCTGGCTGCAGAGCATCTGCTGCTGCTCAGGAGATGGAACACTGCCAGGAGCCGGCTACAAACAAAAGGATTGAAATTTAATCAGTTCCCTCAAGCCCGAGCTGATGAACATGATGGCATATTGTTTATGAGTTGGGGGATCTGGGCTCCAAATGACTACATGATCCTTGAAGAACAGACACAGCCAACTTGTATTTCAGGTCACTGCTGTGAAAGCTAAAACTTGGAAATTGCTAGACTCAGAAGCTGGATGAATGTGAAAAGCATTCCTCACTGCAAGCTGACACATGCACAGGGAAATGATAACCTGAAAAAAAGTAAGCAGCATGCTATCGTGCCATTTCACGAACCCACTAGGCTGCCAAATGGTTTTTCAATAAATCCCTGGTGTATGCACAGATGATTTAAAACTTCCAGCTTTCTTTCTGTTTGTGAATGAAAGGCTGTTCTCCCATTACTCCTTTGTTACAAGCATTTCATAGAATGGGGTTGGAAGGGACCTCTAAAGATCATCTAGTTCCACCCCCTCCCTACCATGGGCAGGGACATCTTTTAACTTCTGTCTATTATGTAATAAGCTACAAAAAATAAAATGAAATATTCACATTCTGGCTATCTTGTAAAAGGTATCTTTCACAGATGTCAAACTGCATGTTCCAGGGATAATACACTATCATCCAACAGTCACAAAAAGTGTGAAATAATGAATGATTTAAAAGCTGAAGTAGAAAACAGTCTAGAAATGTAAACATGACTGACTATGTTGCAAAAATATTCACTGGCAAGAACATCATTTAATAATGAAGCTACTCAATTTAAAGCTATTCTTGCCAGTTCAAGCTAAAGCAACAGAGTTAAACTTTGCTTCTGGAGATGAGATTTTTTGATCTTATTTAAACACAAATCCATTACTCTATCAACTAAATACATAGAATGTTTTTCCCAGACCAAAAGGGTCAGTTTCTACAGCTGAAAAGAAACAACTGTGTGACATTACAGCCTCTTTTCTCAGAAGAGAGTGATGAAGGGGTAGCACAAGATGACTTCAGAAACTACACCACAACTTATCTCTTACAAGAGCCCAGGAGACTGGCCTTACCTGTGCTGTTTCCAGTATGGCGTTCTCAAACTCGCGGTACGCTTCCCATAAAGCTGTTCCTTTCGTCACATGCAGTCCAACTGCAGTTAATGCTCTCTCAAATATTGAGCGAACTTTCTCAATTCCTCCTTCCTGACCAATGCCACCAATGGAATACTGGGCATATTCCAACCAAATTTCGGGACCTAAACAAAAGTTATGAGAAACAGATGACCTAATCCTCTCAAAAATAAAAAAGGCAACTCTCTGCTTCCCAAACACCTCATTTGTTGCATATAATTAGACCAACACAGGACAATTTTCTTTACCATTCAATGTACTAAAGAAAAGTTAAAATATTTTATTCCATGCTCTTGGTTCAGCACAGCAGCTACAGTTTTCTTCTGAAATAAGTCATTCTTGTGGTTGTTATTGACACCAACCATATGCCACCTCTGGTATACAAGCTACATCAGAGATGCATCAAGACCTCCTAACAGCAACTTCACTTTTCTCAAGCACACATGCAGAGCTCAGACCATAAAGCTGTCGCACTCCTACATAACTCAGATTGAAGTAGGTCCTTCTCCTCTTTCCAGACTCCTATACTCACCTGTTCAGACACTGCTTAAGCAGCATAACTATGAAGGTGAGGAGGAGGTGCCAGAATAGTGTTAGCTGCCTGGCACCTCTCCCACCAATAGCAGTCTCTGACCAAATTAGGTTCAGGGACCCCCAGTAGAGACTATCCAACCAATGGATGTTAGATTGCACATCTCAGGCTCCAGAAATTGTCCTGCCAAACCCCAAGTGCAATCCACCCAGCAGATCCAGAGGATGCCTCCTCTTAGCTCTTCACCTCTCCATTCCTCCTTCCTGAACGATCACCAACACCCTGCGAGGCCAGCTATGCCGGTGGTGTAATATGACATTTTGTATATAGCTTCTGCAAGGGATTTGCCTCGATGTTACCAAGCCCTCTGCTTCTTCAGGCTTCACGTTTTCAGCACCTCACCACAATACTCAAAGGGCATGCAGTTACTCTCTGTTTTAAGCTACAGCTGCAGGCAGGTCCTGACAAATGGAGACACAAGACACCACGTACTTCCCTCACTTTTAACGAGGATGATCAGAGCCCCGTACCACAGCATGGCTAGGTTTACCTACTTCACAGGGTTTCAGGAATGCCATCTCCCAGACAGTAATTACAAACTGTTCTGAAAGAGCTGTCACATAGCTGAAGTGGCAGCAAAGACCGTGCTAACTAACACAGAAGGCAGGAGTAGAAATGAGCCTTTTAAAACCATTCACTTTCCTCAAAGAAAGAGCTAAAGAACCCATAACGGGTAATGGAGAAAGCATTCACTAAGCGAGCACAATACCTGCTGCTCTTAGAGACTAGAGAAGTGCAAAATATGCATTTAAAAGTTCTTACAACATTTGCTTAGAAGATCTTAAAGACTGCCGTAGCGTTTAAAGCATTGCCTTTGAATGGCCTTAACTCCAATGCTTCAGAAAAACTGAAAATTACTTCACAATAACATTTTTGGTCCATTTTCTGCATTATATCAGAAGGAAGAAACCTTCCTAGAAAAAGAAAGCCATAATCTGAATGCAACACAATACATTTTATAGCATACATTAACAACTTACAGATGTAGTCTTTCACAGCTCTCTCAAACAGTTCATAAACTTTCTCTCGCTCAGAGCTTTCAGAAGCCATTTTTATCTCATCCTTCAACCAGTCCAGCCAAATTTCTGAAAGGAAGAAGTTTAGAACACATCACCAATGTTCAGAAAGAATAAGTTAAATCCACTTGTTGATTTTTTTGTGAGAGTTTTTAATAACAATCTTAAAAATGGGGAGAGGGCCAATGGAAAGAAGACAGCACTTTTAGCCTCCACAACTACTCACAATTAATTTAAAAGTTCATTATAGACCTTTTCAAATTGGTACTAAACAAGACCACTTATATTTAAAGAGAGCAGAAGTTGCAAGCAGCAATTTATCAGTACCTTGGGCAGAGGATCAGTATGCACCAGTAATCAAAAGAGGCATCCAGAGGTACACCCTTCCTCGTGCTTTTACGAGAAACAGTAAATGGCTTTAGAGACTGCAAGTTTCCACATACATATCAGGAAACCTTCCCTTGCCAAGGCTAAAAGTACACTGGCAGAGCAGCCTCTGCAATATTTACACTGCCTCTATGTTATGAATAAAAAAGAAACACCCACTTCAAGGGCTACCTATAACTTCCACCAACATCGTATTTTTTTGCTGCTTGACTGTGAAATTAAACTTTTGGCAGGAGTTTGGGCTCTGAGTCACATTCACTGACTAAGTGACTGCAGCCGTTTCAGTGCTGCCATCCCACAGCTGTACGTTACCAGCCCTACAGCAAAGGCAGCACAAGCAAACATACGCCTGTCCCTGGGCTACAGCAGCTTGTGTCCTGGCAGCAACTCACCCAGCTAACAGACAGACAGACTGGAGTAGGTGGGCGCACACAAACACCCCCTCCCACCAGTTCCAAGCTACCACAGCAGCCTCTGGCAGAGGACAGGGCAGTCACAAGTGGCAAGAACTCAAATTCCTGCAACAGGCTCGCTACCCTGCATCTGGCAGACGCCAAGCTCAATGCTGGCCATTAACACCAGCAGCATTCAGAAGAAGTCCCAAATCTGTTCTTTCAGGTTTCTCTAGACTGGAACAATGTTGTTGAAGCCTGGCTAAATAAACATATTATTTCACTACTGAAACAACGGTATTTTACATGGATGATGGTTAAGCTGTATCAGCTGCAACATGAGTAGAAGATGATCCATACCTTCAGTAAGTGGAAAGAGCTCACTCATCTTCTGACGAGCTCTCCTGAGCTTGACTAGCTCTCCCTCCTGGCGGAGCAGCTTTATCAGATCCAAGTGACAGTTATAGTCAAAAGCATTGATGGAAAGCTTTAAAAAAAAAATTTTTTTTTAAAAGCACTGTTGAGTGACGGACATGAAGAAATCAGAGAACATTTAGCAAAACAGAACCCCATACTCTGTTTTGGGGCATACAAATCTCATCATGTGTTCACATAGCCCAAACAACACCTACCTCCCTACACAGTTGCACCAAACTTCACTATTGTTTGCAAGATGCCTTCAGGTCACAAGCAAACATTTATAAAAAACACTTCCAAGTTTAACTAAGCTTTAAAGTTAAGCTTAGAGCTTAGCTTATGCCTCTAAACTCTAAAGGTTACTGCTCAGCAGTGCAAATACCAACACCAGCAGTACAGCAGCTACCAGCTACAGAAACAGACCCAAGAGTGCAAAATGAAGAAAGCTTTTTTCAATAGAGCCAAATGTGTTTTGATTTCTTCAAAAGCAATTAAAAAAACCCCAGACAGCTAGCTGAGTTTTTTTCCAATGACTGCGAACTGTCCTCTAGGGCTCTCCTCTGCAATTTCCCCCTCAAAAAAACACCCAAGCCCAACCAAAACACTTAGTTTCCACTTAAGACTCCAAACATTCACGTCTTGACAGTTCCCAACGTCAAGCTCCAGGAGCAGCCATACATTTATTTTTTTTTCCAATTACCGCCGCAGCTATTCCAGCAGGCAGTCACAAAAAGGAAGACCCTACTAAGGCCGGGTCTCCACGAGGAGAGGCCTCGGTTCTCCGGGACGAGCCTTCCCCGGAGCCCCAGGGCCGACGCGTCTCTCATAGCAACGCGGGCGGGCCACCGGCGCAGGGCCCGGCCCGGCCTCCAACACCACCTCCCCCTGGCTAAGGGCTTGGACCGGGCGGAGGCCGCGGTGCTGCCCCACCGCCCCCTCCCCACGCCGCCGCCAGCCCAGCCGGGCCCCACCTGCTCCTCCAGCCGCTGGATCTCGGCCTCATTCTCCTTCTCCTCATCTTCTCCGTCACCAGACGATTCCGAGTCTCCCTCATCCTCGGAGTCGCCCCCCGACTCAGGGTCACCCTCCGGCAGCCGCTTCTCCTCCTCCGCCGCCACCGCAGCCGCCTCGGCTCCCGCCGCCGCCATCTTATGCAGCTCCCTTCACAGCCAGCCGCGCTCCGCCGGCCGACGGGGCTGTCCCCGCGGCGCCTGTCCCTCCGCCGCGCACTGCCGCCGGGCGAGCGCTGCAAGAAGAGGGGCGAGCCGCCTCCCGCAGCACCCCGAGCTCGGCTACGCACCGAGGCCGCGCTGCGGTGAGGGCCGCCGGGGCCGGACCCCTTGTCTTCTCGGTTAAGGCGCAGGCGGCGCCGCGGGCACCTCGGGACCAGGTCCTCAGGGGGCCTCCGAGGAGGGCCGGGGCGTGCGCAGCACCGCCCGCCCGCCATATTGAGTGTGGCCGTCGCACATGCGCTGGCTATCGCGATAAAAACGGCGTCGTGACTGGAAACAGCATTTATCGATCGCTTTAGCGACAGCGCGAAGCTTTTTCCGCCAGGCGGCCTTCAGCCCTCGCCTCCTTTTCACGGCGAACCCCGCCGCGCCCGGGGTAAAACGTGGGCGCCCGGCGGTGCCAGGCCTGAGGCAGCGCGGGGGGCGTGGCCTTCCCGCGCGAGGCTAAAAAAAGGCGGTGCGGCCCCGCCTACTCCCGCCAGGCTCAAGATGGCGGCGCTGAGGGCGGCGGGGGCGGCTCTGCTGCGGCCCGGGCGGGGGGAGGCGGCCGTCAGGCGGGGCTACCACAAGAAGGTGAGGGGCTGCGGGAAGGGATGGGAAGGGATATAGGTACGGTGCCCGTTAGTGACGCGATGCTCTCGTAGGTGGTGGATCACTACGAAAACCCGCGCAACGTCGGTTCCCTCGACCGCAACGCCAAGAACGTGGGTACCGGCCTGGTGGGCGCCCCGGCCTGCGGCGACGTCATGAAGCTGCAGGTGACCTTGGGGACCCGCTGACACCGGGGACGGGGTAGGTGGGGGCGGGGGGTCGCCTAGGGCTGTTGCGAGGCCCAGACTCGTCCCCTTCCCCTTAGGGGTGCAGCGCGGCCTTTCCTCCTCCCCCCCTCCCGAAATGTCCCCTGGGGCCCGGGCAGGCTTGTCCCGAGGGTGTGGTGGGACCCAGGGCCCTGCCTGGGCCTGAGAAGGTGATTCTGGGGTGCCTGGTAGAGCTGAGCCAGCTGCTGAGGTGCTGCCGACGCTCTCGCAGGTGGAAGTGGACGAGAACGGGAGGATTGTTGATGCCCGTTTCAAAACCTTCGGCTGCGGATCAGCGATCGCATCGAGTTCGCTGGCGACGGAGTGGGTCAAAGGGAAAACGGTAAGGGTCCCCGCCGGGATCGGAGGTGACACCACGGAAAGCCTTCAAAGCTTTGAACCTACCTGTGTTCTCTGTTGGGACTGTGTAGGAAACAGTAGTCTAAGAATCCCAGTACTGACTTTGTGCAGCGCAGTACAGTGATGCAGAAAGCAGCGACTGTCAACTCTGTTAGTGGCCTGACTTCTGGGGTAATAGTTGCCTTTTCCAAGAATCTGTTAATCTGTAGGGAAGTACTTTGTGTTTTATGCAACAAATCAAAACATGCTGATCCCAGATTCTGGAAGAAAGCTTAATTATGGAGCATCTTTAGGTCATTTAGATCTCTCTTTCTGCCAAACAAGCAATGCGCTTCTGTATTATGATAGAAGATAAGCAGCCTTAGAGCAGCCCATCCAATAACACTCAGTCTGTAACACTGGTATGCTTTGGTTTGTTCCCACCACTGCTCAGTCCGAGACATTCCTTAATTCTGCCATCCTTCACTGCCCCTGGCAGTTGAGATGTTCTTCCGTGTGGATTCTCTTGGCTCTGAAAGCACTCTTAGCAAATGCCTTTGTAGTCCATGTTGTACTTCATGTGACCGGTGACTACGTACTAACTGTATTTCAGGTTGACGAAGCGCTGAAAATCAAGAACACTGATATTGCTAAAGAACTCTGCCTTCCTCCAGTCAAACTGCACTGCTCTAGTAAGTAAAGGACTAAACGGTGAAAGTTCAAACACAAGCTTGTATTTGAGAGGGAGGCTTCTGGGAACAGCGCAGATGCTTCTGAATGTTGTTTTCCAAATAAAGTTTCTGTGCAAGGAACAGCTAAGGTTAGCCCACAAGAGAAACTTGCTTATGTCCAGATTTTGGGGTTATTTTAAGAGATTTCAGATCTCTTTCATCTTTTGGATTCCATAGCTCAGCAGACTGATAATAAGTGTTCAGATTCTGACATTCTACTTCTAAGACGCTGACTGGTGCTACCTGCAGTGGTGGTCACTGCTGGCTGCTCTTGTTTTTACAGCATCTTTTGTTCTAAATTACTTTTAGCTGTCCTTGAAATACTTGTTTTGTTTGTAGTGCTGGCTGAAGACGCAATCAAGGCTGCCTTGGCTGATTACAAGTTGAAGCAGGATCCAAACAAAGAAGAGTCAGAGAAGAAAGCAAACAATGCCTAAAGTGACTGTAAAGCTTGTTCTCATTCCACTTAAATTTGCAGTGCAATTATTCTAGCTATTAGTAGGATCCTGCGCACTACTAAATGAAGCTGTAAGATACGCACAACTTGCGCACAACCTGTCACTGTTCATGTGTGTACAGCCACTCTTGTAGTGCTTACATGACTGGGATGTGGGTATTTCGGCAGCCTGTGTCCTGTCACGACTGTGTTTGAAATGTTTGAGTGAAGAAGACTGCTCAACTGCAGAGAACTCGGTGACTTCTCTCTGGGGAGAAAATCCTGCTGTTCCGGTCCTGGAAGGGCTGCACTTTTTTTGGAAGATGTATAGTTTTGCCTAATATTTTACAGAATTTGGTGGGAAACATTGCCTTGGTCTTAATGTTTATGTAGGAACTGCAGATCAGTCTGTGTAACGATGCAGTATACAAATGTGGGGCAGCACATCTGCCCACAAAGTTCAGCTGTGTCGGAGTTTCATTTTGCAACCTGTGTGCGAGTTTCTCTTCTGTGGGTTGCCGGGACGCTCTGGCAGGCACTAGAGGGCACTGACAATAAATACACTGCTGGGAGACCAGCAAGTAGCAGCTGGGTGTCACTGCTCCAGGAATCCAGGAAGCACAGACCAAAGCTAGCAGGGCTTGATTCTGCTGGCATCCAGTCATTACTAATGCTTGCTTGCTTTTTTTTTTTTTTTTTAAGCTCCCATTAGAGGAACAATCTTAATTTTGGAGTGTCTTCTATAAGAATGCAACCCTTGGGATTGGCCAAGTACTCTGTTTAAAAGAGAGTAAATGCACCCTCGGGTTTGAACCCAGGAGGGCAATAGCACAGCTGGGGTGCAGAGCTGAGGGGAAGCTCCCAAGGGAGCAGGGGTTGGTCTGTGCCCTCTGCAGATGATGCCTCTGCACCCTGCCAGGCACAGTTCAGCTGAGCTTTGCAGGGGGAACAGGTCGTGGGGAGAGCGTCACTGATGCTCAGCTACTGAGGATTTGCACAGTGAGTGTGAGCTGGCTCCCTGGGAGCTGGGGGCACACCAACGTTTGAAAATGAAATGTTTTGCCATTTGGCTTACCCTCCGTGCTCCAGGCCACTGTGCCCTCTGGTGGTTGCTCTTTCCCAGGGGAGTATTTCCATAGATTTCCAAAACAAACAGAAAACACATTTGAAAACTTTGCCTGCTCTTAAGATTTTAAACCACCCCAAGAAATCTTACTTGCCTTCTTTCATACCTAGGGTGTTTTAAAAACATTAAAAACTGCATTTAAAAATAAGTAGCTTGTTCTGATGTATCTGTCCATGTTTGTTGGTTGTTTTTTTTTTTTAAATGCAGAGCAGGCCAAGTGTGGTTGCTGCTGTGGTTTGTTGCTTGCAAGACAGCTCTGGCAGTACCTCAGCTCAGCACCGCCCTGCGTGCCGGCTGCTGGCCCTCAGCATGGCCCCTGTCTCCTGCCACCTTCCTGCAGCGAGGAATGTGCCTCGCTCCCTGGGAATGGTCCTGCGGTTTCCGGGATTAAAAAAAAAAAAATCAGGGAAACTTCAGACGCCCACATCCACTTTGGGGCAGAATCAGCTCCTTGTGCTTGTGGGAGCCCCTTGACGAAATGCAAGAGGGAGATAAAAGCCAGCACGCTCTTCCAAGGGGAAAGGTTGTCCTGATGCAGGGACATGGGGATGCATCCCTACCTGCCCCACAGCTGGGACAAAATGTGGGGTTGCAGGGGTATGGGGATGCAAGGATATGGGGATGTGTTGCTTTCCAGGCAGAAAAGCCTCTTTTGCCTTGCAGGTTTGCCTGCCATCCCTGCCAGGCACAGCTGCGTCCCGGTGCAGAGGCATGTGGCAGCACTGCAGCCCCCCCCGCCCTTGGCTGCAGGCTGTGAGATAAAAGTTTCCCCGAAATGGCGTGTTGGTGTACAGATTTTGTGAACGATAAGCACGTTCCCCCGGCTCCCAGGGTTTCACCCACGCAGATAACCTTCACCCCGAAGCACAGCCAGGCCGGGTGCGCCTGCCGGATTCTGGGGTCATGTGTGGACCCCACAGGGCTGGAGCTGAAATTGGCTGCACCCCAACAGCAGCCTGATGCAGGGAGGGCCCTGAAGGAGGAAAAAGTTGTGGGGACTGTGCCTCGGCCATCCCACAAGCTGCAGAAATACACAGGAGAGGAGATCTGCATAGGAAACATCTTTATTACTAGCTGAAGGAGTTAAGAAAATAAGGCAAAAGTCCAGCTGGGCTCTGGGCTGCCCTCAAGTCACGGCTTTGGGGCAGAAAAATGGAAGGGTGGGTCCTTGCCTCTAAATCCTCTTCCCTTCTCCCATTAGCTGGGCAAGGATGGCCAAGGTCATCCCGTCCTCGGTGGCTGCAGCGATCAGCAAAGCCAGCCCATGGTGCCCAAGGTCAGGGGGAGCCCCCCCCCCCCCCCCCGGGGGGGGGGGGGGACACACAACTGCACAGACACCCCCCCCCCAGCTGTGGTCCCATGCCTCTGCCCAGAGGGATGCAGCTCCTGGCCAGACAGACCAGAATGCTGCTAATTAGTAAAATAACATTTGGGAGAAAGTTGGTGACAGGTGGCAGAGAGCGAGGGCTGCCTGGCACAGCACTGGGGGGGGCCAGAGCCAGAGCTGGGGGGGGCATGCACCCACCCAGTGCCCAGGGGTGGGAAAAGCCCCTTGGGCAGCTGGAGCAGTGGGGCTGATGGTAACTCCAGCACTGCGGAAAAACATCGCCTGCCAAAAAAAAGTCATGGCTTTGCCACGGCATCCCGCCGGTGCAAGGGTCAGTGGGCCCTGGGGGCGGGGGGAGTCTTGGGTGTGGAGCGGGGGGGCCTTCATCGGGGCTTTCTTGAGCCGCCACGTACGTATGGAGCAACAAACCACCACGTCCATCGCGTGTCCGCGGGGCGTCCCCTGAGCCGGCGGCTACCGGAGCTCACCAGGGACCGGGTCCCTGCCCTAGACGCTTGGGGGGGCCGGGGAGCCATCCTGGGCTGCGTTGGGGGCCCCCTCTCCCCGTGCTCCCGTTGCACCCACTGCTTCCTCAGCACTTGCATTTTGGGGAGGGGGCTCAGTGGATTGCTCATCGCCTAACTTTTTGCTTCCTTCCTCCTCCTCCTCCTCCTCGGCAGGGGGTTTCTGCTCCCCCCGGGTCCCGTTGGCCAGCGGTGCCTTGGGGGGGGATTTGAGGTTCTGGGCAGCCGCGAGGATGTCTGCCTGCAGCTGCCGGCTGCAGTCGAGGGGCTCCTCGGCGCTGGGGTCGGGGGCTTTCTCGGGCACCTCACTAAAAGCCCGGGCCCCCCCAGCCTTGTCTCGCTGGTCCACGTACTTCTTCTTGGGGAAGGAGGAAGGGTAGTAGGCGGATGCCTTGTGCTTCTGCCGGACGATGACGGCGGCGCAGATGATGAAGAGGAGGACGAAGGCCAGCGAGCCCACCACCACCACCAGCAGCATGTATTCCTTGAAGAAGTCCACCAGCCCGTCCAGCATGCCACCCGGCGCCGAGCTGTTGGTGACTGTGGTCCCCGCCGCGTCCCCCAACGTCGGGCCGGTCCCCGGCGTCACACGGTGGATGGGTGGTGCGGCCGAGACCTCCTCACCGTCCCCGCTGCCCCCGCCGTCGGCCAGCACCGCGGTGTGCCGGGGTGCTGCTGAGTGCGCCGGGGCCACCAGCAGCAGCAGCAGCAGCCACATGCCCATCGCTGGCCGTACCGCCATGTCCCCTGGGGCTCGTGCACGGCGGCCTGCAGGATGCAGAGGGGAGAGCAAAACGTTAACACCCCGATGGAGCAAGACCCCCGAGCCCTGCCACAAGCAAGGCCCCACGGTGTACCCACCCCAAGCCCCGCATGCCGTTCCGGCACAGAGGGACAAGCACAAGCGTTGAACCACCAACAGTTAGTTCGGGCGCTCGCTTATTCACCCGGCTGAATTTGCTTAAGAAAAGCAAAACGCAGCTCTGGTTTCCTTGCCCCGACACTGAGCAAGGGTCTGCGTTTATTTTGCAACGGCGCACTGCAAAAAATAGATGGAAACCAGCTGAATCAAATTGCTCAAGCCTGGGGGATGCTGTGTGCACACGAGGAGACCGGGGCTGCTGCCAACAACTGGCTTCAGACAACGGTCATTTGGCTGATTAGAAAATTCCTGAAAAATTGAGGTTTCCAGTGGAAACTTTGACACAGGCGACGCTGCCGAGGGGCCGGCCCCCGGCGCAAGCGGCATTTCCCAACCGCTCGTCCCGGCACGGATTGTTACAAACGATTCCCAGCTTGAACATGGCTAAAAATAGGTTGGCAGCAGGATTTCACCCTGGTGCTGCTGCGGTGGCCAAGCGGTGCTGGGACGGGGCATGGGACAACCCCTCCCCAAAAGTCTTTGTAAAGGGGCAGCCCTGGAGCTGGGTACAGTGAACAGGGGGGGGTCCTGGCTGCCTGAGCATCCCCAGTGAAGGGTGAAGGCCAGGTCCATTCCCTTGCCGTGCCACTCTGTGCCAGATGGGGCTGGATCTGCCCCTCACCGGCAGCCACAGCCCACAGCACTTTGTAGGACATGTCAATAAGTGTTTCCCATCCCCGCGCACAGCCCAAAGCTATGAGCCGGGGTGAGCCCCCCCCCCGGGCTCCTCACCCCCGTGGGGTTCTGGAGCGGGGTGCGACAGTCCCCAGCACGTCGCGGCACATTCCTGGGGGATGGCAGTGAGTTTTTTGTCGCGCCACGCCACGTAATGCCATCGAGCCGTTCCCAGAGCTCTCCCCCTCCGCACAGCCCCACGGGAAAGTCTCAGGAACCAGCTCCCCTGGTCCGTCAGCAGGGACCCCCCCCCAGAAGAATTCCCCCAACCTCGGGCCCCCCAAATCCCATCCGCTTCCCATTTTCCGCCCCCAACAAACCCAACCCAGCAGCGCTGCAAGCCGGGAGGAACTCCAGCAGCGGGACTTGGCTTTCAAGCTCCTTCCTGGCTGCAAAATCTGGTTTGCATTAAACCAGAGCAAACAAACGGCGGCAGAGGTGGGAGGTGCCCCCGGACCCCCAGACCCCCCAACCCTCCCGGCTCACCACAGGCGTCGCCGCTGCCATGGGCTCTGGGCTCGCTGCAGTAACAGCGGCACTGCCAAGACGAGGGGTTTTGGGGGGCTGGGATAAGCCCCTTCATCCTGCCCCTCTGCTGCCTTCACCACAGAGAGGGGCCTCTCGGCCATGGCGGGGAGACGGGTCCCGGGGAAGGTGAAGGCATTAATTCGCCATTAGCAAGCGGAGCTGACGAGCAGCCACAGCCGTGGAGGGGCTGACCGAAGCCCAAATCAGTACCAAGAGCAGACCCTGTTGCCACAGCCATTGTCAGCCTTCCATCCCCATCCCCTTCCCCACCCTATCCCATCCCCATTCTCACCCACCCCCAGACCCACAGCACGTCCCCAGCTCCAGCTTGGCCGGATGCAAGCGAACCCCGCTCCGCTTCCCTTCGCTCCCCAAATGCTTGGGAAATTCACGATTTTGATGTTGTCCAGGCGCAGCATCCTCCCAACCGTGCCCAGGCACACGGCTGCATGGCCGGCTCCATCCCACTTCCCGCTGCGGGGACCATGCCCAGTCCTCGCCGCAGCACCCCCAGCCACGGGGCAGCCTGCGCCCTGCTCGGGAGCCACCCCAAAATTGGGGGAGCAGGCTGGCATTGCCGGCGGGATCCTCACCTCGCCTGCAGCCGCCGCGTCAGCAGGAGGGAGCCGGGACGACGGGATCTGTCCCGTACACCTCACCTCCTTGCGCCTCTTTCTGCTGCTTGCTGGGATGGAGCCTCCTCCTTCTCCTCCTCCTCCTCCTCCTCCTTCTCCTTCTCCTCCTCCTGTGCCGCAGCCAGGGACCAGCTTGTTCTCATTAGGGCTGGTTTGGGGAGGGAGTGTGGGAGGCCGGTGAGGGGCAGGCGGCCCCCGGCCCCCTCCCAGCTGAGATTCAGCTGGGGGCTGGGGGGGCTTCCTGGCCTCTTGCCCTGACAGCAAAGGGGGGGAAACCTGGTGCCCCCCATCATCCCAGCAGCGCTGCTGGAAGGGGCCACTTTTTGGGGTGCAAGTGGGGAAGGGGGGTGTCACAAGGGAGGGTTTTTGCAAAGGTGCTTTTTTATCCACGAGGGCAAAGGTATAAACCCTGTCCCCTGGCCAAGTAGCTGAGCCACCATGGTGGGACAGTGGTGCTGGCACCCCAAAAATGCCTCCTGGTGATGCCATGCCAGGAGCAAGCATGGCCTCCACCCAGCTGCCTTTCACTCTGCTCCTGGGCCCCCCATCATGCCAGCCCAGGGCCAGATCCAGCCCAACCCCTGGGCACAGGCACGAGACGGTGGGGCATGGCCACTGAGGCCAAGCAGCACCTAGGGTCCGAGGGGGACAGTGAGGGTTTCGGGCTTGATGCCCCAGCATTATTGGGGGCTGGCAGCATAAGCATGGGGGCAAATGGGGCTTGGGACCCCCCACCTTGATTTCAGGAGGCCATTTCCTAAACATCCCAGCCTGGAAATGCTCCGGCACAGGTATCTCTGCCTCGGGGTACGGGCAGGGGTACAGAAAACCACTCCTGCGGTTCCCCAGGCCGGTGTGGCAGCAGCAGCCATGCAGCTCCCCAGGGTAGTCTCCAGGACTGGGGTCCCAGCCCCCCCGCAGTCCCCTCCGCCTGGGCTGAAGTTGCTCAAGAGGCTGCAGCCGCCGGCGGGTGACCTCATCCTCTTGCTATTCGCCTCTACGCCTCCCCGGGGACCCGGCCAGATCTCCCCCAAAAAAGCCATCGCCAACGCCCAGGGACTGCGACCACCACGGGGCTGGGGTGAGGGTGCCTGTCCCCATCGATGCTGGCACCAGTAAGCCAGAGGGGAACCGGCGCCATTTAGGTTTCTCCCAGCGTCGCCGAATGTAATCGTGGCTCCCAGAAATAACGGGTCCGTCCGTCTGTCTGCAGCCGGCGGCTCCATGCAGCTGCTGGGGCGGCTTTTCCTGGCCTTAAACAATCAGTGCTGAAATCTTAGAGGGGAAGGGGGAAAGGCAAGGGGAGGCCCGGGGGTTGCGAGGGCGGCCACGCTGCTGAGGCGAGCCAGCCTGGAGGAGCGCCAGCGGCATCCGGACTCGCTCCTGCAGCCCAGATGGGGATGGGGCTGTGATTCCCCACCGTGGGCCCAGTGATGCTGGCGTTGGGCTGAGATTCCTTGTCTAGGGTCTCCATCCCTCCCTGGCCAGGGTCGCCATCCCTCCCTGCCCAAGGTCCCCGTCCCGTCCTGGCCAGGGTCCCCATCCAACCCTGGCCAGGGTCCCCACCCTTCCCCAGTTGTGGTCCCCACTGCCCCCAGCCAGGGTCCCCATCCCTGCCCTGGGCTCTTCCCAGCGCGGCGGAGGCATGGGGACAGGCAGCCCCCGGTGCCAGCACACACCGGCCATTACGATGCTGTTTTTGCCTGCGGCTGGGGAGGGCTCGGCCCCTCGGCACTGGGCAGGGCTGTGCTGCCCGGGCCCCGCTTTGTAATTTGGGGCAGCTGGAACGTTGGGACCCACAGGGCTCGGCTCAGCGGCACAGCCGGCCCGAGGTAACCTGCAATTTGAGACATTTCGGCCCTGCTCTGCTTGTAATTTGCTTCACTGGGCCGCACTTTGCTGCGCCAGCAAAATACCCGGTGGGGACTGATCCTGCGGAGCTGCACCACGGTGTGCAGAGCACCATGCATACAGCACCGTGCCACACGCAGCACTGTGCAAAGTACCGTGCTCAGCATCATGCGCAGCACCCTGCACGGCATCGTGTACGGCCCCATGCCACACACAGCCCCGCGCACCTCATGCTGCCAATCCCACTGCACGGCACGAAGGCTTGCCGGGGTGGCATGGCCCGAGGATCCTGCTGTGACACCGCGCTGGCTTCCTGCAGATTCCTCTGCCGTGAGCTGGGAGATGGCAGCCCGACAGGACCTGCTGACTATGCCAAATAGGGCGATTCCCAGCTCCTGGCAGCCGGCTCGTGCTTCGGTGGTGGAGGAAAGTTTATCCTCGCTGGGCTCCGGCTCTGGAGCAGCAGGCGCAGGGCTGGATGAGGGTGGGAGCAATCCCTCCAACCTGCACCCATCTGCCTTTTTGGGACCTGCTGAGCCTCATCCTCACCTGGACCGGGGGGACGAGCCACTGTGGGGTAAAGCCGGATGATGGGAGCATCCCTTTGCCTCTGAGAGAAATTGGGGCTGGGGGTGACAGTGGTTGCTGCGGGCTCCCATTCCCCAGCCTGGCCCCAACAGCCCGGAGGCACATAAACCTTCGTTATGGCTGAGCCATGAACTCCTGCGGCTGCTTTTTGGTACGGCAGGGCGCTGTCATCTGCATGCATGAGGACACAGTGGGGTCAGATCAGGGTGGCATCACTGGAGAGCCCACTGCCAGGGCGTGCCATCCGGGGACCGGCCACCCCCACTGGCTGCATATCCCTTCACCCATGCTGACTCACCCATAAACATTTACATTTGCAGGAGGGAGCGGGGCTGGCAAGGCTGCTCAGCCCCAGATGGAAAATATCCGAAGCAGAGCATTTATGTAAACAGGCAGTGGGGCCGGGGCGGCCAGGGTGCAGGTGAGCGGCCACGCTGCCAACCCACCCGTGGGACGGCCACCCCCGAAAGCGGCTTTCGAGGCAGCTGCGCACCCAGGGCTCAGCTCGGGGACGAGATGGCACAGCGATGCCTCGAGCGTGTGCCGAAACGCTTCGCTGCCCAAGTGTGTGCTGCAAATGTGGAGGGTGGCATAAGCTGCGTGGTGGGGCGGGGATGGGGCTGCTGAACCTGGCAGTGGGGGGGGAAATATGGGGACAGGGACACTGAGCCTGGTGGGGCAGGGATTGGGATCGAGCTATGGGGACACCGAGCCCAACTGGGGCAGGGATGGGGATATGGGGATAGGGATGCTGAGCCTGGCCGGGCCAGGGATGGGGATGGAGAGATGGGGATGCTGAGCCTGGCCCAGGCAGGGATGGGAATGTGGGGACACCGAGCCTGGCAGGGCAGAGACGATCCTGGGCCATTTCTGCTTCCTCGGGTGGCTCCCCCAGGGCTGGGAACAGGGAAGGGGTCAGGCTGGTGGCTCGAGGAGTGACCAACACCTGCACACCAGGGAGAGGTGGGACCTGGGAGCAAACCTGAGCCCCCTTCAGTCCCCGGGGGTACAGGCAAGCTGGTGGGACCCTCGGTGGCCGCTCATGGCTTTGCTTTCCCCATCCCTCCCGGCCCCAGCCACAAGCAGGCAGGGACAGCCTGGGCCGATGCCGCCCTACGAGGCCGAGAGCCTGCGACCACCATTTGCCCACCTGGGATGAGCCCTGGGCACACCAGCAGCGCACAGGACCACCCCGACGGGCAGTGGCGGTCCCGGAGTCGTCCTGTCACCTCGCTGTAGGTGACCGCAGGGCAGGAACACGTTACGCCACGAGCGCGCCCGTCCCCGTCCCTCCACCCCCCGGCATTTCCGCCCCAGCACCGCCACCCTTTCCGCTCCCACACCGCGGCACGAGGCCGAGCCCACGTGGGGAGGGGGTCCTGGGGGCTGTGGTCCCCAAACCCCCCCCGGGGTCTGGCCCCCTGCCTTGGCCGCAGGTTTCATTTCTGCTCCCCTCCAGGGGGCCTGGGGCTGCTGCTGGGGGAGAAGGATGGAGAAGTGAAATTTTGGCAGGGGGATGTGGGCAGGTGGTGGAGTGGGAAGGGGGCCGGGGGGGCTGGCAGGCACCGTACCCACCAGGAAGAGACCGCCATGTCCAGGTAACACTTTAATGAGATCAGCCTTGAGGGCTGAGCTCGCCCTGGGAAAAAGCAGTTCCCCATCATGCCAGTCCAAGTTAAAACACGAACCCAAGGGGATGGGGGTCCCCTGCCCGCGGTTCCACACGCGGCAGCACCGGGGACTGGGCACCATGCCCACGGTGCAGCCGCCGGCCCCCCCGGTGCTCTGAGATGCAGAACCCCATCCCCACGGCTCAGGAGTGCTCCGGCAGGAAGCTGCTGAGAGTCAGATTGTCACCATCAGCCTCGGAGCCGCCATCGAGCAGCAGCTTCGACCGCCGGGCCGGGCCGGGCTTGGAGCCATTGGTGGTCACCTCGCCGTCGGGCAGCAGGGAGGAGATGCAGACCATCTCGGTGTGGCTGAGCCGGCGGTTGGCCGTCCGTGCCCGCCGCCAGAGCAGGGCACCCAGCACCCCTGTGCACACCATGAAGGTGGCGGCCACCAGCGCCAGCAGCAGGATGGCCAGCAGGCACTTGCCCATCACCCTGCTGGGGTCCCAGGGGACTGGGACCGTGGTCCCCTCAGGCTTCGTGTCCCAAGGGGCTGAATGAGTCGGCGTGGGGAGGGCCCCGGCTTTCTTGACTTTCTTGTAACCCGTGGTGGTGGGGCTGAGGGCTGCGGGGGTCACTGAGCGCTGTCCCACGGAGGAGCTGCTGTCCGTGCTGCCGGGCACTGTCCCTTCCTTGCCGGGTGACGTGAGCTCGCTGGGGACAGTGGTGATGCTCATTTGGGGTGCTGCCAGTGTGCCGGGCTCTGCTGGCGGCGCAGAGCTCAGCAGCAGGTCAGGTTCAGGGGAATCGGTCTCGTCCAGGGGATCGGCCGTGGTTGGCACCACAAGTGCCCGGTGCAAGCTGGCATTGGTGCCGGGTGCTGGTGGTGCTGCAGAGCTCAGCAGCAGGTCAGGCTCAGGGGAATCGGTCTCGTCCAGGGGATCGGCCGTGGTTGGCACCACAAGTGCCCGGTGCAAGCTGGCATTGGTGCCGGGTGCTGGTGGTGCTGCAGAGCTCAGCAGCAGGTCGGGCTCAGGGGAATCGGTCTCGTCCAGGGGGTCGGCCGTGGTCGGCACAACGAGTGCTCGGTGCAGGCTGGCATTGGTGCTGGGTGCTGGTGGAGGTGCAGAGCTCAGCAGGAGGTCGGGCTCAGGGGAATCGGTCTCATTGCTGCTGGGCATCGTGGTGGCAGTGTGGCTGTGCCTCGGTGTGGCAGCGGGGGTGCTGGGCTGCTGCCCACCCTCAGCCCTTTTCCTGCGGGAGAGCAGGGGGGGCTCAGCCTGCGCTTGCCTGGCCACCCCCCAGACCCACTGCACTCCACGGTGCTGCCCCAGCTCTGGCGCTGGCACAGCCCCACACGCCTGCAGGGTGCTCAGCACCAGCACCAGCATCACCAGCATGGCCCAGCCCGGCGCCATGGGACCTGTGGTGGGGAACAGAGGGGAGCAGGTGAAATCGGGGCCCTGCTCCCTGCGGAAGGAGGCTGAGCTTCATCGTTCAGGCTGGCAGTGGCCCCAAGGAGGGATCACACATGAGCGAAACATCCTCCTCCCCTCCCGGAGAGGGGCCCTGTGGTTTGGGGGCCTGGAGGATGTGAACACTGACCTCCTCCAGCCGTGGCTGACAGAACCGAGCTGCCTCCACCTGCAGGAGCTCGGCCCCCGCCAGCTCCACTTGTGAAGAAAGTTTTGAAAAGGAAGTTGAGTGTCTGGAAATGGGAAACGAGCCGCAACGGAGGCGGCTGCTGCGGGACGGGCAGTTGCAGGATGACTCCCCATGCAGAAATGAAACCACAGGGATATCACACACCCTTCAATCAACCCCCCTGAACCCAGGGTGCCTGTCCTCCCACTCCGCCAGCCGGGCTGGTGTGGAGCTCCCTGGCTGAGGCCACCATGCGCCTGTGCATCTGCGCCAGAGCGGGAGAGGCAAACCTGCCCCAAACTCACACTAAATCCCCCCCCGTTACATCTGTCGAGCACCAATACCACCCCCCCAGCAGAGGCCAGTGAGGTCCCTGTGGCCCCGCACCCAACAGCATCCAAATGCCCATCAATGCTCCCTCAGCACCCGGCATCCCCAGGAGGCTCCGGCATCCGCAAAGCACCTACCCGCCTCCTAAACCCCACCAGGGACCATCACTGCGCAGAGGGTGGCACCCCCCCAGGGACCTGCATGTGCCCCAAGGGGGACCCCAAGCATCCCCTTTGTACCCACAGCATCCTTGGGGCTGAGCCCCGATCCGGAACACTCGCCGACCCCCCCTCCAGGGCTCACCTGTGCCGGGGGATGCTGCGGGACCCCGAGCTGCAGCACCGGCGGGCATCACCAGCGAGGGCCCGGCTGTGCCGGTACGGGGGCACGAGGGGCAGCCCCGGGGCTGGGCAACTGCTGAAACCCAAGGGGCGTTGCGGGCCGCCCTCTGCCTGCGCCTCCTGCCCGGGCAGCGAAGGAAAGGCGGGCACGGAAGAGCGGCTGTGGTTTCGGAGAACCCGACGGGGGAAGGACGTCATGCCGGGAGTGGGGCCACTGCGGGTTGGGGGCTGCATGCACTCACCAGCAAGGGGGGCCAGGATGTGAGATGTATCCCAAAAAGGGACCTCCTGCCCCTCTCTGATGTGCTTGGCGCCCCGTGGGAGCCCACCCTGCTGGCTCAGCCCCACTGGTGGCTCTGCCGAGCTGTGTGATGGGGGCTCACACCACCCCGAAAGCAGAAGTGATGGCAAACATAGTGCCAGGGCTACCAGCCCTCCCAGGCACAGTGTGGCTACAGATGGGATGGGGGGGCAGATCATGGTGCCCCAAGAGGAGGCACAGAGGTACCCCAACACCAGGAAGCAGCATTTGCACGCAAGGATGAGGAAGAGGAGGAGGGTGAGGGCCTGGCTCGATGCATTTGCAGAGCCCTCATGCTGGGGCCCTTCTCTCAGTACTAACATCCCCAGGACAACAGCCTGCGGCCAAGGAGCTCCTGGGGGCCTGCGGGGGCCACCGGGCATCGTCCCAGCTGCATGGTGCTGCACCAGCTGGGCAATACCCCACCCTAACCACAAGCACCGGCACGGCAGCAGGCAGGAGGTGCAGCCGCAGGAAGGGTGCTGCAAGAGCACATCCGCAGCAAACACCCTGCGGCTGCTGCCGGGGGCCGTAAACAGCCCCACCGCCTCCCCCCACCCCCTCCAACAGGACCCTGAACCCTCCCTGTGCTGCAGGCTGGATTCACCGCATCCCTTCTCAAAATCCTCTGGCTGTGGGGAATGGAAGACGGTCCCAGTTCCTGCCACCCCCAGATCACTTGTGGGAAAACAGGCACAGAAAATGGGGGTTCAGGTCCGTGGGAGCAGCTGCTGCGGAGGGATGAGCATCCCCTGGGATGGGTCCAGGGCGTGCATGGGTGGCCTGGGAGCACCACCTCTCCAAGAGTATCCCTGTCCCGTCCCCTGGCACGGTTGGGCCTTTGGGGTTGTGCCGGGGTTGGCGTATACCAGAGGCAGCTGAAGGCGGTTGCGAGATGCCAGGTAAAACACCACAGCCCCGGGGGAGGCTCTTAAACCTGGATGGGGACCGAGCAATGCCATTTCCAGCCTGGGCTTTCTTTACTGTTGCAGGCTTTCCTCCGCCCCTGAAACAGGTTTCAGCTGGGGAAGAGCAGAACAAGCCCCCCCCTGCCCCCAGCTCCACAGCAGCCCCCAGCCAGTGCCATTCCTTTCCGAAACCACATCACACCCATCTCAGCTACCCCGAGACCCCCCCAGCAAGTCCATGCCATTGAGTCCCACATCCAGGCAAGCTCTTGGGCTCACTCGCAGGGAAATCGCCAGCAAGTCCACATGCAACCCTGGGGATGAGCCCTGGCTCTCCTGCGACAGAGCAGAGGAGAGCGGAGGAGTCCCAGAGGACAGACCCCGCTCAGCCCCAACCCCACATGCTCAGGTTTCTGTCCCTGTGGTTAAGGGTAGTGCCATCATTTAATAACCTGGTTATTGATAAAACCTGAAGCGCAGGTGCTAACGGGCAGCGGTGGGTGCAGGATGCAGAGAGTCAAAGAAAAAGCAAACCAGAGGAAGTTTATAATCAATGACTTTTTATCTTTTGAAAATGGAAGCAAATATTTGGACAGATACTATGGCCGCTCTATAAGAGCGCATCTTTCAGGACTTCGCTGGTTCTCTTCTGGGATATCACGGCTACAAAAAGCTTCAGGCACTGACTCCGGTTGAGCCTGGCTAGGCATCAGTTCATTTAAATAAAATACAGGCTATAAACTAAAAAGCAGGGCGGCCTTTCCTCCGCCCTCCTCAGACCATCTACCACACACCGATCTCCTCTGGGCATTTCAATCCAGCATCTCAGAATACTTATTTCCCTCCAATTAGAAAAAACAAAAGGTCCCCAAGCACACAGCCCTGAAGTCACACGTACAAATCAGCACAGAGATCACCGTTTGGGGGAGCATTACGTTTGGTTTTGTTTTCCAAAAAAAAAAAAGGTAATTAGAAATACACATCATCTCAGGCATTTACTGCAATACAAAAACATCACCAAACATTCAAATAACCTGGAGTGTCTGGACTGTGAATCCAGCATCAGTGGTCACAGACACAGGGCAGGGGACACTCATCCCTCCTGCTGTGCTCACCACTTAAAACAAAGAAAACCCACTTTTATGAAGCTTTCATGCTATGCAATTATAACACATCCTCTGTCTCTTCACATCCCATTCTCATGCCTCTCCAGCTACGTCGCCTGGCCGTCCTGACGGTGTGGTTTCACCTTCACACACACAGACATCCCTCCAGAACAGAGAATCCTTAATCTGCAAGTTCTGAACATGCAAACACTGGAAAAAATGGAGAATTTGAGGATTTCTAGCTAACCTAATGAAAAAAAAACAAACCAAAACAAAAAAAAGATCACTTCAGCCTGGACGAAGGGACATGTCCCCCCGCCGAGCGGCAGCCGCCGATGCCCTGGGCAGGGGGACGCTGCTCTGGTGCATCAGGTCCCAAGCACACAGACGTGCACGCACACCGGGGATGCAGTGAGCTGCTTCAGGGATCGATCCCCAGCTGGGACAGGTAGTGAGGCTCCTCAGCCCATCACTCTCGGCACCCAATAGCCTTTGCCCACCTTTGGATTCGACAAGGGTTGCCGATGTTTCCCCGGTACTGCGGGGACGGGCTGCGTTGGGATGGGCAGCACCAATCCAGCCTGGCACAGCTTGCTGGGGTGGCACAGATCCCATTCACACTGCAGGGACACAGCCTGCAAGCAGGGACCTGTGTCTGCCCCATCCCCAACACAGGCAGCCCTCCCCTCGCAGGGAAGGCCCCACCTGAGCAGAGGTTTGCCGAACTGAGGCATCCAAGAAGTTCCATGAGGAGCTCGCAAGCCTGGCATGCTCACAGGGTCTCTCCCCTGAGGATCTCAAAGGACCGTGTGAGAAACCAGTTCTCCAAACTGGGATCAAAACCACCTTCCCCAGTCCCTTCCACTCCAAAGGCCTGGGAGTGAAGGGGGTCTGGGTATAGAGGTCACTTATCTGATCCAGGAACATTTCCTGCAAAGTTTTACAGCCGGGTGGGGTGATGAGGCAGGAATGATGGAGAGGGGAAAAAAAGAAAAATTATAAAAAATAATGGAGGCGTTTTGTTTCGGGCGACCCGTCATGATAAAGTCACCTAGCTGCTGCTAATGCTGCTTTGGAAGCAGAGCCTAAATTTCTAACATTAGCACTAATGTGAGGGGCCAGAGAATTGCAAGCTCGCAGATTTCAAAAGCTTCTTAAAGTCAATGACCTAAAGAGCGCGGTGGTGCAGCTCTAGTGCAGAAACAAGTATTTACAGCAATGCATACAGCTGAAATGGACACCACGGAGAACGTGGTGACTGCAAATGTCCCACGCTCGCATCTCCTATGGCACACCTTCAACGCTGTACTCCATGGATAAATGTAAAAACATCTCCTGCATGAAAGTAACTTCTGCCTCAAAATAAAACAAAACAAAACAGTAAGTAGAACATGCCCGTTTGGACATGGCTAGAGGAATCCAAAACATGAGGCTATTTTAAAAGGGCAACATGATGCTAGTTTAAAAGTTCTTCAGGGTGTAAAAAGGGAAGAGGCATTTTGTGGCATGGATCACCTCATTCAGAACTATGTTTTTTTCCTTTAAACTGTCAGACAGTGGTGATGGGGGGACATGTTAGGGAGGCAGGAAAGGCAGCTTGTACTATCTCTGAGGGGTCTCAGCAGCAGCCTCAGCCACACTGCAAAGGAAACCGATCTGATTGTTCGAAATTGAAGATTTATACAAAATAGCTTCAGTTTTGTTCTCTGAACAGTATAAACACCCACCACGCACACACACACACACGCGCACACACACGCAGTGCTGTCCCTTTAAATTTAAAACACAAATACTGCAAAGTGGCAAATAAGAAAAATAAAAAGCAACTTCTTTTTTTTGGCAACTTTAAAAAATGGTTAAGAACAATGTGGCATTGGTCCCTAAATCTAGAAAAAGATATTTGGGCACAACATTGAAAGTCAGAATGGATTTTTTTCAAGAATTCATAACATCTGGAAAAAAAAAAAAGACTGTAAAAGTAGCACTTATTCTTTTTGACTTGTTTGACACAGTCACATAAATTCATTAAAACATCAGAAAAAAAAATCTTTCACTAAAAAGCTTGGCTTTTAATCATCAGCTCTTGTTGACGTGAATTTAGGAGAACAGGAAAGCTCGTACTGGAATGCTGCACGCTGCTGCTTGCTGAACTGGGGAACTGGAATGTGCCTGGGCCGGCAGCGGGGCCAGCGCCGCTTGCCCTGCTCAGTCCGCGATCTTTGCCATCTGCTGCTCCAGCTTGGAAATGCGCTCGTCTTGGTTGGTGATCGTGTCTTTTATAGATTTCAGCTCTTTCAAAATCTCATCCAATTTGGCTTCATTTTGCTGGAAGACAAGACAAGACATGTATTTGTTAGGAGAGCTGGCGGGATGAGCTCTGCAGACAGGAGTTTTCAAAGGAAGGGGCTCCTCTGAATGGGATTCTTGCGAGCCATAAGCGCGCCAGGGTGCGTGGGCAAGCAGGGTGAGTGTGTGCCGCACACCTGGCAGAGGCACTGTGGCAATTGCAATGTGCAGGGCACGCACCAGCATTTCCAGTGGCAGCAGTGCAAGCTTCAAGGACATACTGGACCAATATCTGCTCTTTAACAGCATTTAAGGACCTACTGGACCGACAAGTTGTCACTTCCACATCTCTGCGTATTACTATACCATGCACTAGCGACGGCCCCCGATTAGGGACTTGTACAACCTCCTTCTGAACTTGCATAGTCTGAGGTTTGTTTGTCCCACTGTCTGGGCTGGGTTTTACACAAGAGGTGCACAGAAGGTCTCCCAGGCAGGTGGGTGGCTGGACCAACAAGCCAAGCTTTCCTTTGTGTCACAGTTCCCAGTAATCTCCCACAGATGCAGAAACCTTGCCTGGAACACCACAACTCAAGTGCCACCTCAACTCCAGGTCATCCACCAGCACCCAAGTCCTGGTGTACTTGAGTCATATGTGCTTGAGCTTTGTTATAACTATTTCTGAAGATGCAGCACCCTGGTAATCACGTCTCAGGCCACCATCCCCAAAAGCTCGTGGATTTTACTCACAGTGTTTGAGGCATCAGCTGCTTTCTTTGGAGCATTTATGAGATCACTTTTCTTGTTTGCGGCAGGCTTGTTGTCCAGTATATTCTTCTTGACCACCTTGAGATCCCTGTTCTTGCCTGGAATGTACCCATGCTTCAAGGAGATGAGAAGGGGATCGGCATTCTTCCCCTCAAACCACTCCTCTGCTTCCAGAGCTGCTTCTGGGCCAGCTGTATCAGGGTACAGGTCATCTTGGAAAAGGTCCGACTGCAAGCCAGAAGAGATGAATTGGTCAAGTGCTTTGGGGCTGGAAGGTGCAAGCTGGCTTCAAACCATATAACCAGGAGGTAGTGCTCACCTTTCGAGGAACCGTCATGATGATGGGCTCACATTTCCTCTCATGAAGCTTGAAGAACCTTTCAAAGAAAAAGAAAAGGTGTGACTTAGATGCGAGGACAGCCAACACCCCATGCAAAGGAGGCCTTGGTTCTGCTGCTCATGCACAGCAGCATACTGGGAGTCAGAGGCAATGGAAAACGAGCAACCCTAAGGAGTCACAGCCGGGCTGCACTAGGACTTATAGGGCCCTGCAAGGGCTGAAGGAAACCACCTGGGTGCGTGCAAAGCTCCCCTCTTAAGTACCAGCTGTCTTCAGAGGGTCACACTTTGGCCAGAAAAGGCTGTCAGTGAGGAACAGCCCACTGCTCAGACCCCTGAGACAAGCACCCCACCAGTGATTTACAAGTACACACTAGCCAGCCTTCTGCTCACTGCTCACACATGTCTCCACATTCCGGTCACCCCTTGCAGTCCCACTTTGGGCCAGTGCCACAAACTCCAATGTCCTCAGCCTGGCCACCAGGCACTGCTGCTGAAATATTCCATGTGCTTGAGGCAAGTGCAGGCTCTGCTCCCTTTCAGGGGCTCCTGCTTTCAGTAATAATCAGAGGAGCGTCAAAAGGCTTCAGGGGCAACATCCACCATGTTCCCTACCAGCAGTGTGCCAGGAGCCATTGCACTGACACAAACCTGCTTTCCTGAGGTGCCTTCTTCCTTTGCTGTGTTTTCTGAATCACAGCTGCACTCTATTCACTGCACTGCTGCTTTAATTACTCTCTAAATTCCTGAAACCAGCTTCCAACCCACTTGCTGTGTACAAGCTGGAGACCGATATCAGACTTAGGCACCGAAAGTTTATCATCAATGTGTTGACAGCATAGGCTGGAACCAACCTGATGCTACGTTTTCTGCAGACAATTTATTCTGCTAGGTATCACTCATTCATTTAAAACAGACTCAGCGTAAGTCCCAGCACATTCTCAGGTTATATCATGTTATGCCCAGCAGAAGTATTGCTTCATGTCACAGGTCCTAGCGAACACTGCAGAAGCAATAGTGTGGCAGAGAGACCTTTCCAACAGCGGGGTCCTACACCCAGCAGCAGGACTTTCCATTTCTGAACGGCCAAGCTCATGATGGGGGGACTTGCTAAGATGACACCACCCTCCCTGACAGCCTCTCTCCTTACCTGGCAATCTCACACTTGTTCACATCAAGGCCCCTCTTTGGCATGAACCCCATGCCCCTCTGCGGCTCTTTGCTGCTGAAGGTGTTGAGGTAGTGAACATAGGGGGATTCGTCCGTGATTTCAAAGTAGCGAATGCTGCTGTCTCCCTGCAAGAAATGAAAGGAGGACCACTGCAGAGGCTGGAGGGACCAGCACACCCTGTGCCCGCGTGCCTGCTCCCTGCTGGGGTAGGCAGCCATCGGTCTCGCCCGATAGCCTTTCCTTCCACGAACGGCGCCACAGAGCAATGCACAGTTTATAGCTATTTTTTTTCAGGCTAAAACTTCCACTGCTTGCCAGTCAAGTATGTCTCATCTCAGGCTGCTCACAGCAGTTGCTATCAGACAGCACACTGCTGCGCTCTTGCTATCCATATGGCATTAGCAGAACTACCATAAAGCAGATCCCTACTGTAACTCAAGTACATCAGCTGAACGGTTTCTCAGCAATAAGTGCTGTTCTTCAAAATACTGTGGTACAGTGACCTGAGCTCATGCTTCAAGACTGGGGGTGTCAACTTCCATACCTCCTCTTCTGAAAAAGCTAAACTTTCTGCCACAGTCAGGCAGAAAGGCTATAAACCAGTTTCTCTTTGATTCCAGGCAATTCTACTACACTAGCATCTCTGAAACAGCAGAAGAGGTAGCAGATATAAACCAAGTATTTCTCATTAGCTGTTTACAAAGATGGGATTCTTGAATGCACTTGTATGGATCCTCCTTCATAATTACTCGTTCATCTTGTCTCTGGCTCCTATTTGTAGAAGTCCAAAGCTGCAGCATTAGAAGCAGGCACTTTAGAGCACTTAATGCCTACAAATTGCTTTTAAAAAGGAGGACGCGATTCCAGTTTTCCATTAGTTAACCCTGCAACATTACAGTGAGTGCTGTTACATGCTCCATCATCTTCAAGCACAAGGTGGATAACATCTAAAATGTACCTTCCACCCACACTAATGTACAACCTTTTGGGTCAACACCGACAAGAGATGTTTTGATGACGGTATCTGACTTGTTGCATTAAGAGCAGCTTTACCTAAGTAAATCGATCTCAAAGAAACATCCAGTTACATAGCAGACCTTCACAGGGCAGACTTCACAGGTTCTCTGTAAGGTCCTGCAGAGTGAGGATCAAACTGATTCCAGAGCAGCCTGATTGCTAATGTTTGGGTTCTACCTTTCTCAATTGAGACACTTGGGGAACATTTCACAGGCATCGCTCATTTGAAAGGAGCCTCCCGCTAAACACACCCAGTCATTCCAAAAGCTTCTCTTTACCTTGCCACACAAGTAAATAATGTTGGTATCTGGATCGTAGAACGGCAGCAGGACCCCATTGCTGGTGTCCATCTCATGAAGGGCTATTGGCTCCTCCATGTTTTTCTGGAAAGAAAAAAATGCCAGTGATGTTAATGAAGAATGAAAGAGCTCATGTTAATGTAGGATCTAAATTATTAACAGTTCTTTGTAGCTAGTGAACACGCAGCGGTGTCCTCACCACCCTGAAGGATCTGTGTGTTACAACAACAAATGATGTAAATGTTCACAAGCTTATTCATTCCCCAAGGACATTTTAATCACAAAATGCAATAAAAGCAGGACCCCAAAAAATTTACACAGTCAAGGGAAAGATGTGACATAGTCCTGTTAATGAGTCCCTTGTGCTAGTGTGATGGGATTGTGGCTGTCTTGCTCTGCACATATAACGTACAGAATGAAGTGACTTTCACACAGCCACTCTGCTCTCTGTGTACATCTTCTCGGGCACTTCAAATGTGCAACTGTCAGCTTCGTCACTGCTCTTGGTAAAGTGGGGATTGGTACAAGAGAACTCATTTCCTTTACTGAGTGAACATCCAGCCTAAGTAACGGCAATACCTTCTGGCACAGGAAGTCTGTGTAGGAGCAGGCAGTAGATGGAAGAGGGAATATGCTCAAGTATATGAACTATGAATTTAGTGGGTGACTGCAGGTCTGGGCTAGTAACTCAATGGACATTACAACAGCAAAGTAATAATGGGACAGGAACCTACTGGATTCCAAAGGGCAAGCTGCCGTTCACTCATGCGGCTGAAGCCAGTTGTGAAGATATTTCCATCAGCGAGGAAAATGGCTCGCATAGGCCGGGCTCCCTCGTGGGTTTTCTCCTTCTCCTGAAAAAGAGATTGACATATTAGCCTCTAGCAAGGAATAGGAAGCCCACCTGGCGGTGGCTTCTCTTCTAGCTGCACAGAATCCCTGGCAGGACACACTACTCCTCCACACAGGATGCCAACTACATGGAGCAACATCCAACTACCTTTGCCTGATGCTTGAGGGAAGAAACCAATTACTAAACCACAAAAGAAGTGGTCATTCCTGGCTCGTTTCAGCTTTGCCTATCAGACTCTTGCAAGGTTGAAGGAAGATTTCTTTGCAAGCTACGACACATATGCAGGCTGCTAAATCTCCACATTGCACACACAACTTTGAAACTGTAATTATACAGAAAGATTAGATGTGGCATTACACTCCTGCAGGTTTTAAAACTGAGACCTAAAATCCTAGTTCAAACACTAATCCCAATAAACCCAGACAAATCCTTCAATCACTACCATCCCTCCTGTAACTTTTTCCTTACTTTGAAAAACATGACTAAACATGGTATATATACTAAGCAAGAAGGTTCTTTCTCTATATGCTCTTGCTAACTCTCTGCTGGAGTGAAACCCAGTTGCTTCTTTAATTAGCATGCAAACTTACAGCAACAATTTCTTGTTTCCTGGGGTCAATAACTCGAACTTTTTTGTCTTTGGAAGCTGTACAGATTAGGCTGCCATTGCGATTCCAGCTCACATTGTAAATCATATCCACATGCATGTCATCCAAGTTTATGAGGGCTTCACCTGTTCCCACATTCCAGATGATGATTGCATTATCACAACCTAAAAAAGAAAATAGCGGCTAAAGTTACAACACTGGTGTATACAGAAAAAAAAAGCCCAGCAGCAGGGAGCAAGGAATAAAATCTGCTGCAGCTCCAAAGCCTCAGATGCTGACTCTTAAACACGCTCAGTGCCCCACCATGTATGTGGAGCCCCAGGCAACACATCCTCACTCAAATACAGGCTCAGAGTGGGGACCAAGCAGCCAGAGAAGGCACAGAAGTCCTCCATTGAAAGCATCGAGCACCTTCTCAGAGGTGCTGTAGCTGTCCCAAACAAAGGCAGTTTATGTGGGATTATTTGGACACTGCTAGCACAGCTGGCCACGACCCCAGCCAACATGCTGCCTGCAGGCATGGGGCAAGCAGGAGGGACAGGAGAGGTCCCCGGCAGAAAAGAAGCTGAAGGGAAAAGCAGGAGGTACTGGTACAGCTGAAGGAGGTCTGTGAGAGTGTGCCCTGGCTGCTGCTACTGCAGGAGCTTTGTGCAGGAGCTCCTGGGTCTTGCATCAACTGCAGGACCACAGAGCAAGAGACGCCAAGGGCAGAGAGGTGATGTTCTTACAACTCTATATGTGAGAATACCAGCTGGCAGCCAGCCATTGCCTTCTCAGGTCAGAGAGATTTGCGGCAGAACGAGTAAAAGTGGCATGGATGGAAAATAGGCAAGTGACAGTAGGAGAAGCAGCAGAACAAAGAGGAAAAAGGATGCCAGGCAGCAAAAGCTGAGGTCAGCAGTTTCACAAGAACTACAACCAGCAGCAGAGAAGGTTTTATTCAAGGACTGGACAGCAAGAAGACAAAGAATAAAGCTTAAGATAAGATGACAGCAAAATAAAGAACAGGACTGGAGGACCAGGTAAGGGAAGGAAAGCACAATGTATGACTGAGCAGTTTCTCCTAAGCCTCCAGAGAGGTGAAAACATGTAATGAAGCAGAAGATAACAATCATTCTGGCCTCCCAAAGGGCATGAAAGACACCCAAAATCATTTTGTTGTCACTAGGAGGAACCCTGGAGACTGCAATGACCTGACAGCATCCCTTCTCCTCTGTGTTTCCTGAGTAATCCTGGCCAGACAGCCTGGACACACACATCTTGTTGCTTGTACAGGAGTCTGAGGAAGCTACCTAAGAAAAATCACCACCTCCTTTTGTATGTTCTCACACTGAGTTTCATTACATTAACTGCCACAAGGCCTGCAACTCCAAGCATTTTTGAGGAAACCAGATCAAAAGCAAACTGGTACCTCAGAAGGTATTTATATCAACAGAAAACACACAGCGCATCTGACAGTCCAACTGAAAGGACTGGCTTCTTTTATTGGGCTCCAACCGAAAGGTCATGCTATGAAAGCCTCAGACCATGCTAATGGATAATGACTTATCCATTTTATTTCCATAATGATGTGACTGTTTTTCAGTGGTCAAAAGACTCTCATTGCATAGACCGTGCCAATCAAGGAGACAATTTTGAAAATGCTGAAAATGAAAGCTTGTGGAAAGAACAGCCAGACTCTGAGATACCTTGCAGGGATCAGCGAAAAGGAGAAACAGTTGGGCCTTTTATAAAAGTATATGAAAACAGGGGTGTGGAGAGTGCAGATGTAAATAGTTATCAGTGGGTGAAACTTGCAGATCAAATAAAGTCTGGAACAATTTTAAAACTGTAATTCATGCCTCCAGACAATTTCCTGGTTCTTGTCCCTGTAAACTGAAGATAATAAAAGGTCAAGATAAGGAGGGGGCTGTGAGCCACGTGTCCCCGTGTTCCCAGGCACTGCCATTAGTCTTGTGATTCACCAGCCCTAAGCAGCTGGGAGAGGAAAGAAGGAAAAGGAGTCAACAAGCTCTTCTAGAAAATATCTGGTGTGCAAGCAAAACGCGAGGGAGAGATGCTTGTTGACGCCATGGCCCTGATGCACCACTGTACCTGCACTGAGCAGCACGTTGCGTGCCGTCGGATGCCAAGCCACAATGCCGACTCTCTTGGAATGGCCTTCTAACACTACCACTGGCTCTGTCAGGGACAGGGTGAGTCCGTTCTCAGGAATCTGCCACACCTGGAAAGGGAAAAGGAAAGATGGTTAGCCAAGGGCCATCCCCCCTGAAGAGCATGTTACTTGTTTGGTTCCAGCATCCTGCGCCATGCCACAGCAGAAGTCCAAGTTGCCACTTCTCAATATAAACAGGAAGAGAGAATCGGGGAGGGAATCGTTCCCAGCCACCAATAAACCTTCAGCTGATCTGTGCGTAACATCCTTCCTAGCTCATGCTGCCAGCACATAACCACCAGCTCCTTATGCTGCAAACACCCTGTTATCGCTGTGTCCAGAGATCCATTCATCTCAGATGCTGCCTAAGATGGATTAAAAAAAATTTGCCTTGCAGCTCAAATTCCATCTGAACAAGCTGCTGTCTTTTCAAATTATGCTTGTCCCTTGGAGGGACAATACTGCTGCTATACTGGTGCCTGCTTTTTATTTCTTTAGAAATACTGGCAATTAGTTTCCACATTATGTTTAGAGCCTCCTTTCAGATGCCATTTAACTGAGGAAGAGCAGTTTGGTCCTGGCAAAGGTTAAAACAATGCAAGTTAGCGTTGCAGAAACTACCTTCGAATGCAGCGAACTGCCCGTTTGCTTCTTGCATGCTTAGTTACACAACCCTTCTGTTGCAAGCATCTTCAGGAAAGTGCCATCAAGGAAAGGAACAGACCCCCAAGGATTGCAGAGCACCGGAATTCCAGCCATGGAGTCAGAGCAGGTTTAGCACTGAAGAAGGCAGCTTCTGCAACTGGCAGGGACCGGAGAGACAAAACCCATCACCCCATGCCCCAAGGCAGGATCAGCCCTACAAAACTATTCCTGCAATTCAGCACTGGACAATCATCCTTGAACTGAATTTGACCTACATATAGTGTATTAAAAAATTAAAATAGAAAGCCCATCAGTAAGCACTTATAGCTACCTCTAGATAGGTGGCAGCATTAGAGCACATTTGCTTCGCCTTCTATTGTTTGCTTTTTCTGGAGTTAGAGAATAGGTCTGGCCAGACCCTGCCCATGATGCCCAAGCAAGCTGTCAGAGCCAGCAGATGCAAGCTGAGCGGATTTCGGAAGCGAGGCAGACAGACACGTGTAAGGGCAACATGGATTTTTGCACTAATCCCAGTTTCTGCCTTCTCACAGGGATGGCAGCTGCTCAAATAAAAACCTCTGAGATGCAAAAATTCTCAGTGTGTACCAGCTCACCTCTAAATAACCCTAAAATGATTTCACTTTTCACCGATGCAGCTCTCGGTGCTGTCCCTCCCAGCACCCTCAGCATCCCAGGAGGAATGACCTGCGACGGGCACACGACCTCAGCAAAGAATTTCTCTGCGAGGGTTGCAAATCCCTCTTGCTCTTTCTGCCCGATAGAACAGGGCTACCAACAAGATGACATAAACCGAGGCTTTTACCAGCAATCACATTTTAAAAATTGGGTTGCAAACTGGAGACGTTCAGCTTGGAGAAGCAGGATGTCGTCCTGTTCACATTCAATCCCACAGCAGTTTTGCTAGTGACTGCAGCCACAGCATGCTCTCAGACAACTGTGCTGAAACACAACACACCTTGCGAACTGCAACAAATCATTTCACCTGCTCATTACACAATAAAACTGGGTTACAAAGCTTTTAATTTTTATAGAAGCAGCTTTCTTCTTGCCAGTCAGGGAATAACAACCTGACAATAGCAACAGTTTAAAAGATGTCTGCTGACAGGGGAACTTTAATGTCAGTCTGCTAAAACCAGTACCTGCACTCGATGTCATAACTGTATGCAGGTCTCTCAGATGAACCACCTCCAAACCCCCCGCAATTGTAAGCGCTGATGCAATGCTGCAGAAAACAGGTATTACCTAAAACAGTAAGAAAGCTGGAAAGAGAACATGAGAGCTGGAAGACCCCAGCAGAAAAGGCAATGCAGGAGAGCCAGGGGCTCTGGAAGCAGAGGTACGGGAGGTGCCCAGCAGAGCATTAGGTGACACTGGTGCAGGGGTAGAGGATGCTCAACACGAGCAGCTCAGGTCTGACAGCTCTGCCTGGCAGGCAGATGCTGGGGCACAGCTGATGTGGGGATGAGAAAGAAAAAAAAATAGCAAAAACACTTCTCCACTAAATGAAAAGGCCACGACAGCCAAGACTGACCTATGCAAGTGGATGTTACACCGAGGATTAAGCAGGGAGCCAGAGAGAGTCTTCAGGAGCCCTTAAAAAAGGCAAGCCGTGATGAACACAGCCTTTTCTTCCCCTGAGAGAAATGGTGTGATAAAGTGGCCTGTCCCAACTCACTCAGCCTCACTCTCTTTGAGGAAGAAGCTTTGAAAATGGAATTTATTCACAAAAAGACCCAGGAGCAGCACAACCTTTTGGGCCAAGCATGAGCTGCTGACAAGCCATGCAGGGACAGCAGCAGCAGGGTCAGAGCAGCTTCTACACCTGCAGCTGCAGGCAACCTTCCTCCCTGTTGACAGGCAGCTGGAGCAAAGGGACCAGGTCCCCAAGATCCCCATTTCTCTTTTGCACTCTCAGCTGGGAACAGCGCAGGGATCCTTCTGTGCAAGCGCAGCTTTGTAGCAAACTAACTTGCATGCCAAAAAACTCCAGGACACATTTAAAAGCGAGCCAGTGAGTGCATGGGGTGGGAGAGGAAAGGGAGGCATTAGAGGCAAAATACCAATGAAAAGGATTTTTTAAAAGCCTCTGGAAGACAGACAGACTTTTTTCTTTAAGGGAAAGCCCCTATAGTTTACAGCAGCTGCAGACCTGTGTAATCCTCTGCAGATTACAGAAACTATTGACCTAATAATCCTGCTTGGTATTGCAAAAGAAAAAAAAAAAAAGCTAGGAGTGTGAAAGGTCAGGGTATGCTCCCAAGCGACCTGGCCCACTCATTCCTGCATAGGGTGGGGTGCCTGTCTTCAGCGTGGGATGAAATTAGAGTCACAGGGCAAAATTAAGGAACTTTGGCTTTAGATGCAGGACTCAGCCTGCTGAAGGTGAGGACTCAGGATGAGTACACAAAGGAAACCTTAAAATACTGCAATATTAACTGGACATCAGTAACCATTTGTCAACTCTCCCACTTGTGGGGGTTTTGGGGTGGTGGGTTTTTTTTGTTTCATGGGGGTTTTTTTAAGTTAACATGACTGGTTTGTTTGTGATCGAGGAAGTGAAGTCACGCCACAGTGGTGTAGAGGTTTGGGTCTCAGAGGAAGAGCGGGAGGGAAAGGTTTTGCACAAACAGCATGTGAGAAAGAAAACAAAGTGAACTTTTTCAGCACTTTTTTTTTAATACCCTTTAAAGAGAATAAAAAACTGTCTCTTTTGGCTCTGCACCAACCTGCAGAGAAGATTAAGTCAATTTCTAGAAACAACATCAATTCCTATATTCAAATTACATAAGGAAACAAATAAGTTTGAGCCCTGGGTTTTATCTACCTCCCTGCTCTTGTGTCGCTGCAGGAGAAGTCACTTTGTGCATTCATTTTTTGTAGCTGTAAGACCTTCTCCACAGCTAGCTGGTCCTGGTTCATCCTGTCCCAGTACCATGCCTTAACTGTCTGCTAACAGGTTGGTGTCCCAGGTCATTGCAAGGGCTCTGGTTCAATTTTTAAAACAATTTGCTCAATGAAATGAACTCTACTCTGGATATTACATGCAAACTCATTAGTATTCATCTTCTGATGAAGCAAATTTTCTGTATCTGAGAAAGGCCCTCTGATACCATCTATAAGCCTTTATACAATCACGTTTTCCAGCTGAATTAAAAAACCTGCAGTACATTACAGTCATTCAGCTCAATATCAAGCGTGTATATTTCAGTAATTCCTTATTTGTTGGCACAAGATAACAATTCTTCAAAGAGAACACCAGAAGAGGCCACAGAAGGTATCTGCATACCATGGTGTTCTAAAGGAAATCTTTCTGAGAACAAGTCAGAGCAGAGGAGATGGGGACTCCCTGTCCTGCTCTTCTGCAAAAGACAAAAGAAATTCAGCAAGAAACAAGCAAATGGGGCAGGGAGGCTGCTGCCATTACCTACATCGCACCGCTTGTCTGATTAGGGCTCCTGTGTTACACTGGACATATGAAATGGGCCACGTTCTGGAGAACTGAGAACAAGGCACAAAGAGGAAATACTTCAACACTTGCAGACGACAAGTATGTCATTATATCTCAAACCACTTCAAGCGATTTGTATTTGCCAACTCAAAAGGAATCTCTTGGCTTCACACTCCAACTGGCAAAGGCAGGAGGAGACAGAGGCCAACACGTGCCCCAAGGAATACCCAGCGTGGGACGAAGGAAGAGCGTTCGCTCCTCCACGAGCCTACGCTCCCACAGAGAAGAAAGCAGGCCGTGTTCTGGAGGGGTCCATTCTACTCTTCCCTCTGCTGGGATCAGACAGTCATGTGCTTATACCCACTGGCACCGTTACCTGCACAAAGGTGGTCTTGCAAGGGTGAACTGTCCCAAGCATTGCCCCCCACCATCTTTTTCTTCTCTACCTCCAGATAATTTCTGAGTGCATCAGATGTGACAGCAAAATTAAGGAGCATATCACCTGAAACTGTCAGATCACGTGCCTTTCATCAGAAAAATCTCGATGCAGCTACAAACAGTTAAGCCTCTAAGGCTGTCCAAGCTACAAAGCCCAGCAGTATCAGAGAAAGATGTCTTCTTTCCCAGTCCCTTATTTCAACCCTTAGTCTAAGGATCTCAAAGGTTCAAGGTTTATATGCAGCTCACAGGGTATTTCCACCTTCTACAAATCTGAGGTTTTATTTACATGAAAATGCTTCTACCTTCTGAAGGGGCCAAGTTAACCTTCCTAGTGCAATGCAAAGGCTGCAGGCAGTTCAAAGTTATGGCTGTAGGAAATCAGCCCTCATCATCCCAGAGACATTGGCTAGATAGCATCTCAAAACCATGCTCTGTCCCTCAACACGTATCTAGTTGACGTTGATGAAATCTTTTGTGGTGGAGGGTAAGGTCCTAAATCCTTGAGTGCCAAGGCACAGATGGTCTTTAAAAACATAAGGTATTTTTTTAAAAGCAGCTGGCACTTCTGTGGAAAGCCACGTGATTTCCTCTACCATATCACTTTTTCTCATTTCACATGGGCTAATGAAGAGTTCAGAGCTGATGAACAGCCACATGTCCTTTAAAGTAAGATGAGTTTATTCAGTGACAGGCTGTTCAGGAAGCAGGACTCCAAAACCTTTATTGAAGAAAAGCAAAGAAAACAGGATGCTAAATTACCCGTGCCAGGACAGAAAAGCAGTTAAAAATGGGAAGGCTCATTTGCTCATGCAGTTTGTTTCCAAATAGTCCAGGCCAGGGTTGTTCCCGACATACTCTAGCTCTGTCCAGCCCAGTTAACAACTGTCCCAAATGATTTGGGATACATCATTTCCCATCAGGAGTTATGTGATACTTAACAGGAGATTTGACTTAAGACTTTAGCTAGTCCACTTTGCTTTCTTCATTGCTACTATTGGCACTCAGCTTCACTGCATTTTAAACTTCCAGCTAACATGCACATAACATCTTCCAAATCATGAGTTGTGTATGCTTGTTCCTTCAAGCGCAGCAAGGACTCACTTATTTCACCCTCCCAGCTGCTTGCTGCCTTCCACTCAAGACACGGTCACACAAACAGGTACCGTACGTGAACACGAGTGTGCAAATTCACAGCCAGCTACACCACAGTGCCTGTCCACATGTGTGTTGCCTCCAGGGACAGAGGGGAAGCTCACCCCCTGCTTCAGTGTGTGTGGATAAGCAGCAACCGCAGAGTAGACAACCTACTGTGAACCCACACCCCGCGGAGCCTGTTTGTGCAGTTGTAGGCTCAGATTCTCGCAGACAGTTTGTGTCTACATTAGGAGCGTTTGGACAACGTGTAATTGAACACTGTTGGTTTTTCTACATAATTCAATCCCCCTGGAACCTCACAACATACTTCTCATTGCACTTGGATTAGAGACTTATTTTGCCTCCAAGAAGGCAGCTATAGACCTTAGCTTTGCCCACTTCTGTTGATGCTCATGTTTCGGAAACCTTTCCTTGCGACTCGCAGCCCTTCTGGATCCTGGTTTCTGGAGGAACATTCCTCCATCCTTCAAAGCTTAGTTCTAGCCCAGTAGTGAACGTTGCAAACACAGAAGCTTGTTGTTTTGTTTAATATTAAATATAGTACATTTTGTTAACATGCTTCAGCTTCCAAGACTAAGAGATCACAGGCAAGAGCTGTCCCAGGATAAGCCTCTTGGGATGAATCCCCTCCCAAACATTTTAACGATGAACAGAAGCAAAGGAATTTATCTGACATGATCTATAATAAGATTTCAATATAACATTCAGCCTACAGCATTTCTAAATATGGCCAAAGATCACTGAAGTTATTTGGCATTATTTCATCTTACAAGGATTTTCTTTCACTTATTCTGCTGTGTTTGCATACACAGGATTCCACATCCATCATGGAGCAAGGTCGTCTATTGTTCAGCAGGCTCTGACTGAGGTAAAATAGGTCTCAGGATCAAGGTTGGCAGGTGCAGAATTCGGATTATTTTTTATTTATTTATTAAAAAACCCCCTTTTGACATCTACTTACAACCTGTAGATACAGGAAAAAATTAAAGTGTCACCCTTAAATCAAGGGCTGAAGCAATTCTGAAACCTGATGATGGGCTTCTTCCCCTCCAGTCCCCACCTCTTCGCAACAAACACCACTGCATCCATTAGGATGTTTGAGGTAAGGAACCACCTCTGTCTTCTGCAAAGCACTACAAATCAAAACACCTCACCACTGACAGGCACTCTTTCTTCTCTTTCCTCTTCCCAAACATCAGATAAATCCCCAGGGGAAGGAAAAATGGAAGGGCAATTGAAGACAAAGCCAGGAAGACACAGGCCAAGTCTGTTACACGAAGTGCCATCTCAGTGCTGAAGAGATTCTTCTCAGAAGTCTGAGGTTGCACCTTCTCAAACAGTAATGTGAGAAGAAAGTACCAATTGTGAGAGTCCAAATCCTGTTGTTTTGCAGGCAATAAAGCTCACTTCTATTTTTGCTCCAATTTTTAGCTAGGTCCTGCAGCCAACAAAGCATCATTTTGTAAGCCAAGACAAAATGTGCAGAATGCCCACGACCACTCTCACATCAGCAAGGACTCTATCCTCAGTGTCAGAACAGGAGATATCTTCAGAAATACAAGTGTCATTTGCAGCAGCATTTTGAGCATGAAGCAAACCCCACTGCGCAAGACAAATTTAATACTCTTACCATGACGGTGCAGTCCTCAGAGCCACTGGCGATGACCTGGTCATTATGAGGACACCAGTCTATGTCCAGCACCGGTCCTGTGTGGCCACACACTGTTGGGTAGGACTTGTCAATTCTGCCTGTCTGAAGGGGGGAAACAAGAAAGAGAGCTGTAATACACAGACAGCACAGAGCACATCTCAGAGCGGAGGAAGATGCTTCCCAATTCTCAGTTAACTCTTCAAGGATTCACAATTTCATGAAATTTGAATCATCTCATGTATCGGTAGAAGAAACAAACCAGCAACTCTCTTCTTCAGCACCAACTGGCTGGAAACTCCCAACAGTGCAAGAAAAGGCTTCAGACATTCGGCACTGGAGGGCTTTGCTGCCTCTTGGATGCAGGGACGCTTTGCTGCCCATATCTCATCATTTGCTGCGACACCATCCCTTTGTCTGTCCCCAACATTTTGGGAAGAGGGCTCTGCTTGACCAGTAAAGCTCTGGTTTTGTCTGTGCTTCACAACGGTGGCCAGCAACAGCTAAAGATAACCAAGCTAAAATTTTAATTGAAGGGTGTTGCTGGTCATTGAATTTACCAAGTCTGCTTGTTTTCACCATGGAAGTATTTTGTTTAGATCGAAAGTTTTTAGGACACAGTTGTGCAGAGTAAAATACTGTTTTCAGGAATAAATACTGCTGACGCAGACCACGACAGCCACCCCCCCAATCCATACCTGCCTCTCTACGGCCAGAGGACCATGGCCACCAGCACGCTGCCAAAGTCAAGCTCACTACACAGATAAACTTTCCAAGAAAACAAGCTAATGAGATGTTCCCACTTAACTGAGACAAATCTAGCAATGCCAACACAGCTGTTGCAGACACCAACTTTGGCAACTGGGTCTACGTTTTGCTGATGGAGCCCCTTCCTATCCTGAAGCACCTGACCCCTTCAAGCTGCTGATGCACCAAATACCCTCTGTGTGAAAGGAAATAAAAATCACTCTAGCTAATCATCGTTATCGCTCTTGGTCAAGTCTTGCACACACGGGAAGCAAGTGGCAGAATGAGCAGCAGACTCCTGCTCCTCCAGGGCCAGAACCCGGGTCCCACTCTGAGGGGTTTTGTTTCCAGGGAATGCCGCAGTGGCCTTTTCATGAATGTTGGGAGAAGAGAGACAGGAAGGAGAGGTCTGGGATGGGGTCGTCTTCTTTCATGTTTAGACATGCAGAAGAAATGGTTGGCATTTCACTTCTGCCATTCGGTGGTAACATTCCCCAACCTTGGAGGTGACACCTCTTAATATATGCCTCCTACCCATCTCCATGCAGAAGGCTGTTCCTATTCAGCGTTGTCTTACATACAAAGAAACAGAATAATGCTGGATACTGGCTTTTGAAGACTACTGACCTGAAGACCTCTACTAGCAACAAAACAAGATACAGATCCAAACAGACTTAAGTTACAGAAACAAAACAACCATTATTTCCTAAATGGCCAAATTTAGGTTTCAAAAAAACACTCAGTGACTCAAATGCTTTTGAAATTACTAAAAGTGAAAGTGCTGTAGATGAAAAGCCATAAACCAGACATTCAAAAATTAAAGTCTGTGTAATCCCTCTTGGATGCCACAACGTGAAATAGGATTTAAAAAATTAATACATCCAACTGACATGTATAGTCCATCCATTTTAATTTATCTAATTAAAAAAAGAACCATCCAGAGCATATGCGCACGAATGTATTTCAGAAGTCACATTACAGGCTAAATACAAATATAGACCTAAATCAAAATAAAAAATATGACTAATACCACGAGATGTCAGTGACTACCTGTTCTTGCTCCTAGGCAGGGCTCAGAGTAATCCCTGAAGAGGAGCCTATGGTAATTATTTGCAGGCTGCACGAGTGCTTGTCAGTTTAGTTTAGAGTTTTTACAGTAATTTATTACTGGGGGGGGGAGAGGGAGGGAATTCAATTTGAACAAATTAAACCACAAACTTCACCTTTCAGTTTTGATCACAATGAACCTGAACAGCATGAGCAGCAGCAGCCAACTGCCTGTGACAGCCAGCTGACCACAGGGACCAGGCAACCCCACCGCCTGCTTTTGATCACCTAAAACGGAGCTCATTTTTTAAACCAGCTATCTTGTACTTCCATTAGCTCACTAAACGGCAGTGCTCCGAAGGCAGCGAGGAAAACAAGACGACGGAGGCTCCATGTGAACCCGTGGCAAGAGGGAGCTCCCAATGCCTGAAAGCAGAAGGGACCAGCGCAGCCACGGGCTTCCAGCTCCCACGGGGGAGCAAGTCCCCTTCCCTTGGCAGGCAAAGCAGCAAGCTAGAGTAAAGCTCAGTCTTGTCACCAAGCTAGAAAAAAAACTCGGTCTTGTCATCAAGCTGAGGAACTTGAGATGGATGCACAGGGGCGGCTGTTTTGGACAAGGACAGCATGCATTTCTTGGGCCAGAGCCATCTGGATCAAGAAGAAATTGCAGATGCACAAAGGGGAAGTTAAACCAAACTGAGCAGAAATATCTTTGCACCATGGTACAGGTAAATAGATGCTTATCTGCATCATCTGTAAAGTGCACCCTTTTCCTGCCTGGATGTGGCTAGCGACATACAAAAACTATTTCTAACAAGGGAACAGACAGAGTAAGGATGGGGAAAATGAGATGTTATTTAGAAGCAGTGTGGGGGATGCAATAACTTCAAGCATATTTATTCACAAAAAATTTACAAAACCAAGCAAGCACAGTACAAACAAGAGAAGGAGATGTCACGCTGCCTGCAAACACAGCAGCTCCCCAGGGTCTGGCAGAGGAAGACAATGCCAGGGGAGATGCACAGCCCAGCAGCATCAACTTCTACACTTGGGCACGGCACTACTGCACGAGAGGACCAACTCAGCTGCTCACTAGGGTCCACGAAGAATAGTGTCAAAACAGCAAAATGAGAATAAATAAGGAAGTAAATGGACAGAAGGGCTTACTGGCCAAAAGGCTGCAGCGCTGCTCAAAGCTGCAGTTCGGCTAGGAGAAGTCTCACCACTTTCAGAGAAGCTACTGACTTGTGGTCAGAGACACAAAACCGTCTTCGCAGGGCAGAGGAAACCACGGTGCTTTCCTGAACACATAATAAAGAGCAAGAGCTCTCCTCAGCAACGCTTCTAAATGCACTTCATCTGCTCCACTTTAAAAAAAACAACACCTTTATTAGAAAGCATAACCCTTCAAAGGGGATTGAACGGGCTGCCGAAGGACAACAACCCATGTCACCACCCCAGGGCCTGACCCAGCACACCTTCCCCTCAACCACCCAGCAGGGTGAGAAAGGAGTAGTTTTTTAACTCAAATGTGTTACTTCACCACCTCTCTAAGCCATTTTTGCAAATACCAGCCATGCAGGCTACACCACAGGCTTCCTCCTCCCAGCAGCACTCCCCTCTCCGGAGTAGGGGACTCCTGTTCCTGGCATTGTGTGGTATTAGCTGTGCACAGAAGAGCTTTAATAACAATATTTGGAGGGCTTTGCCAAAAGGGAAAGACCAGGAAGCCTGCCGTAGGGTATTAAAAAAACGCCAGCTTGTAAAATTACCAAATCCAATGTTTCTAAATACAATTCCTTCTAAAATAGATGCCTCTGCCACAAGAACACCATGAGGTTTGCAACTTTGCTGCCAAATGGGTGTGTTTTCATGTTACCGTAATACTCCCAGGTTTGGGGATTTATTTATTTTTAAAATGTAATCTTTTAATTAGTTAAGGATTTAAAATAAGTCTCAAGTGCTGATACACAGCTTAAAATTAACTCGGTACGACTTCAAGAAATTAAATCCTTCTCATAATCCATTATGACTCTGGTTGAGCAACACATCACAGTAACAGCTTTTGAAACTCGGAGTTGTATTTTATAAAAAGTTAGCCAAAAAGGTGAACTTGAGGATTACTATTAATATGCTGGATGGCATTGACTAGAAGCACACTCAATATTCGGGTCCTTCAGCAGGTGGTAAGCTGACCTTACCAAATGGAATTCATTTAGTGATTTCACGTATCCCAGATCAGAAAAAAAGGACAGATGAGAAGAAAAAAAAATTGTCATTAAATCCAGAAGGGACAGGTAAGTGGCACAGGAAAACTGTTCCTGAAAGCAGTAGCTTTATGAATTAATCTGACTGTCTTACAATTGCTTGTCTGCCAGAAAAGGGCAATTGGTTGCAGGAAACAGCTCATGGATTATGGTAAAAATATCACTGGGAACAGCTGCTTCCCCCAACCCATAGTTCTGCTCATTAAAATCACCATTTAAAATAGGGAAGTGGCATCAGGTTGCACAAGCGAAAGCAATTCCCCCACCCTTACTTTGCAGAAGTTTGAGGAAGGAAACCAGGTCACAACTGCAAAGTTTGAAATACAAACTGACTAGTACCTTTTCTCTGTTAAGAGAAAAATACTCCTTTTTTCTTAGCTAAATTGTGCATTTTCCTTACAACAAACTCAAGTTTCACAAAGTCCAGTCGAGTGAAGTTTAATGTGCTCTGGCCGCTGAACCTCCACCTCTGGTTGCAGCAGCTGGTCATGCAGGAGGCAGTCGGGGAAAAAAAACTGCAGAAGGATGTAACGAAAGTGCATTGCGCTCTCGTGACCATGACAAATAGACATTAGTCACCCAGCAAACCAATCAAGGCATCCATAACTAATTTGGAAGATTATGAAAAGTGTTACTCCCAAACGTCTCCTGTAATGCCATGCAATAAGAGACTTTAAGGCATTCATAACTACATACTGCTTTCAAACTAGACCACTACAAACATTGCTTGTGCACTCCAAAAAACCCTCAGCAGTGCTCCTGTTCTCATTTTATCACCTTGACAGCTGCAGGGCTGTGACATTACAGTAGACATTACAGGCTGCTACAGAACGGAGACAAAGGTCCTTGTTCCGGAGTGCCCAGACCTAAATGGATGCACAAAGAGAAGGGAAGAAAAATGCGGTGACAGACAGGGATCCTGCACAAAGCCAACCCTGCCTAAGCAGCGAGAGCAGGGCTTTGAAAACCACGGCACTGCGTGGCCCCAGCAGATTTGGCATCACAACTCAAAGCACAGTTTGGAGGGTTTCAGGCATCTGGGCA